ATGAGAATTGCACCAAGACCAGCCTCAGCAATTTAGTGAGACCTTGTCTCCAAATAAAATACCAGGAAAATAAAAAGTCAGCAGCAATTTGTGTTTGTACCTTTGGTGTTTGAAAGCAACAGAATTTGTCTTTATCTAATCCTTTGGACCATTGTTATCAAGGGGGTTGTCAAAACCTTTCTCTAACAAAAGCATGCCTCTCTCTGGGGAGGGGGCATGTCTATGATCAAGAAAATAAATGTTTCTCTGTATATTTACACATAAAAAGCCCCTAATTTTATTTTATCTGACTCAAGAAGCCTATTGAATAAGGGGAAAGAGACTAACCTGCATTGCCATTACAGTTCTGTGACTACCTGGCATTTACCCTAAAAAGGTGGGATCAGTTGATATAGGCCTTGTTGACAAACCTGACTTCAGCTGTATGGTTTTGGGCAATTAACCACCTCTTAGAACTTCATTCTCTTCACTTATAAAGACTGTGCGTGTGTTAGCTATTGATATTTTTCAAGTGTGTAGTTGACATTTTTATTACATATCATATTTTATTAAAAGCATTGATCAAAAAAGGTATTTTAAGTAAAACAAAAAATTATCAAAAATAGATGATTCCTGGGAAAGGTATAAACACTTAAGTATAAGGAAAATAAATGCAGTAGCATTGCATATTAGGTTTATTTATATTATCAATACAGGAAAACTGGGCTGGAGTTGTGGCTTAATGGTAGAGTGCTTGCTTAGCACATGTGAGGCACTGGGTTCAATCCTCAGCACCTCATAAATAAATAAAATAAAGGTATTGTGTTCATCTACAACTTAAAAAAAAGAATAAATGAACTTTTTAAAAATACAGGAAAACTTATGAATTAACTATGTTCAACTAAAGTTTTTCAAATTTTAAATGTTATCTGTACTCTTACATTTTCTTAATTCTGATTTATTCCTGAATTGTACATCTGCTTCTCAGTCATAAAGACCTTTCCTTATTCCTTTCAACAGCTTTATTGCATATAATCCACGTTATATAATTCACCAATTTAAAGTTAAATGTTTTTAGCATAGTCAAAGAGATGTACAGCTATCACAATGAGCTTTTTAGAACATTTTCATTATCTCCTCCAAAACCATTCCCTCCTCAACACTATGCAATCATTATTTGTCTTTTTTTCAGTAATGGGGATTGAACCCAGGGTTTCATGCAATGCTGGGTAGATGCTCTACCACTGAGCTACATCCCCAGCTATCCCCACTCCTTTGTTTTGTTTTGTTTTGTTTTTGTGACAGGGTCTCAGTTCAGACACAGCCTCAAACTTGTGATCTTCCTGCCTCAGCTTCCTGAGTCACTAGGATTACTGGTTTATGCCATTGTACCTGGTTACTTAGCTCTTTTTAAAAATTCTTCCTTGCTAGGGATGGAACCCAAGGCTTTTTTGAATGTGGTAGGCAAATGCTCTCCCACTGAACTACAACCCCAGCCCTTTAAAATTTTATTTTAAGGCTGGGCACGGTGGCACATGCCTGTAATCCTCAGTGAAGTTGAGACAGGAGAATCACAAGTTCAAAGCCAGCCTCAGCAACATCGAGGCATTAAGCAACTCAGTGAGACCCTGTATTTAATAAAAATACAAAATTGGGCTGGGGATGTGGCTCAGTGGTTGAGTGCCCCTGAATTCAATCTCTGGTACCAAAAAAAAAAAAAAATTTCAAAACAGGGTCTTGCTAAATTGTCCAGGCTTCTTTAAACTTGCCATCCTCTTGCCTCAGTCTCCTGAGTAATTGGGATTACAAGTGTGCCCTACCACACCTGGCACTAATCTACTTTTTGTAACTATAGACTTGTCTATACTGGACATTTCATATAAATGGAATCATGCAATATGTTGTCTGTTGTGACTGGCTTATTTCACCTAGTGTTTTCAAGATTTATCCATGTTCTATTATGTATCAGTAATCCATTCCTTTTTATGTCCAAATATTCCATTATATGGATATACCACATTTTTTTTCTACCCATTTTTCATTTGATGGACATTTGAGTTGTTTTCAGCTTTTAGCTAGTATGAGTAATGTTGTGAAGTTGCATGTACAGGTATTTATGTGAACATCTGTTTTCATTTGGAATTGCTGAGTTTTTGGTAAATCTATACTTAGCCTTTTGAAAAACTGCCAGACTGCTTTCCATATCGATTATACCATGAGAGTCCAAATTTCTTTACATCCTCTCCAGCATTTATTTATTATATCTTTTTTGATTATTGATATCCTATTGTGTATGAATCTCACTGTTTGCATTTTCCTGATAGCTAAAGGGGTTGAACACTTTTTCATGTGTTTATTGCCATTGTTATTTGAAGAAATGTCTTGTCAAACCTTTTGCCCATTTTAAAGTTCAGTTTTGATCTTTATTGATTGGCTTATTGAGTCTTTTATCATTGATTTATAATCATTTTTTATTTTAAATATAGACCCCTTACCAGATATACAATTTGCAAGTATCTCCTCCAGGTTTCCTTTTTTTTCAAAATCAAGTATTTTCAAGTCAAAGAAGGGAAGGAAAACTAAAATGCATTAAGTAACCAGTGTGACCAGATTTATACTTAGCTATAGTGATGTCAAAATGTAGAAATGTTCCTGAATTTCAGGACATTGCTATCTTTGGAGATATGAGATTCATATAATAAAAAAATAGTACATAGCAAATCATACAAAATAGTATAATGTGGTCAAACGTTGTGTGAAAAGTAAATTCTAAGTAACTCAGGTTGAAAGTCACTGATTTGATGTATGTATTTTGAGTAGTATAAGCAAATGTTAATTATTCACAACAACTTTTTAAAAAGTATTTTCAGTTTGAGTTTGTTTGTGTCACTCTTTCCTGCTGGACTGCAAATGTGGATGCTGTTTTGTTTATCAGTGTGTTCCCAGCACCTGATACCAGGCGCATGTCCAATAAACAATGAATGAGTGAGCAAAGATCCATGTGGGATAAAGGTCTCAGGGGATAAGGCACTAATTATGCTTTTCTAGAAAGCTGACTCAAGATGGAAGATATTAGGGTGACAAGAGCAAGAGGCTGATGGGAGCCTTGGATGTCCTTCAGAATTCTGCTGTTAATGAGCTCTGTAGCATTGGTGTTTCTGGTCATATCCCATTTGTGAAATGAGGGGAATACATTGTATTATTTCCTTTTTAACATTCCAAGCAGCATAAACTTAAAACATTTAGAACCAACTAAAAAAGCATAACCACTAAGTAGAATTGAGTTCACCATCGAGGTTGTGCTAAAATACTACTGGCATTTGTGCCTGCCATTTCTGTAAAGTGTGCTAAGAAAATGATATTTCTAGTATTGGATGTATTACAGAGGTATTCACCAAGCAGTATCTTGAACGTTAGGCAGAATGCTGGGATTGAATTATTTTATGTATATGCTACCTAATCTATCTTTCAAACACAATTTGAGACAACAATTCAAATTAGTTTGTCCCCTCCACCCCAAGGCAAAAATGGTTCTTAGATGCAATTGAAAGACATTCATTTATTTTTATCATTTAAACAACCTTAAATTTTTGGCATTTCAGAGATGATAAATCTTTAAAATAGGATTAAAAGAGGAAAAATGGTTCAGTAATGTTCTTTTTAACTTAAAGCTCTAAAATCAACAGCTGTTAAGTATTAAGATGACTCTCCAGTGTACAGTATTCTAATTTAATCTAAATGGCAAATGCTGTGCTTCATTCCCTCATAAGGAGACATTTATGGGAGGGGTGACACAAACTGTGGGATTTATAGATGAAATCTTGCACTGCTCAGGGAAGCAGGACATAAATCCTTGAGGCTGCTATATTAATGAAATAATAGGCAGTGAAGGAGAATCAGGAAATAGATTTCTTTCAGTTAGTGTCACCAGATAACTTTTTAATAGCTTTGTACAGAAATCACGGTCTACTGTAATAAAAAGAGAATTCTGTCAGAGTGATAGTTTTCTTTCAAATGCTTTCTTTTACATTGGAGAAGGATCATCTCTGATAGCTACTATAATTCCTGTGTTTGTGTACTTGATGATAAATAAGCCAGTGACTTTTTTTTTAAAGTTTTCAATGGACCTTTATTTTATTTATTTGTATGCAGTGCTGAGAATCAAACCCAGTGCCTCACACATGCTAAGCAAGTGCTCTACCACTGAGCCACAATCCCAGCCACACCAGTGACTTTTTTGATTGAACCCAGGGGTGCTTTACCCCTGACCACATCCCAACCCTTTTTAAAATATTTTATTTGGAGACAGGGTATCACTGAGTTGCTTAGGGCCTTGTTAAATTGCTGAGGCTGGCTTTAAACTTGAAATCCTCCTCCCTCAGCCTCCTGAGTCATTGGGATTACAGGCATGGCCACTGTGTCTGGCCCAGTGACATTTTTTTTGAAGTAAATGTTTTTCCTATTAGGTCCTAAAGTGATTTTATACGAAAGTGTAGCAAATATATGACAAATATAAATAATTCATTCAATATTCATATATAAAATTATGTCACTAACATATTTATTTTAAATTTACACTTGATAAAAAGACTTTGCTTCAGTGTATTTGTTTTCTAGGTGTGGAATTTTATTCTCAGCAATCTCTGTAGTTCTGACAATAGAAAAGCTTTTATTATGTAGATTTTGTTTTGTTTTGCTTTTTGTTTTTGTGGTGCTGTTGACTGAACCTAGGGCCTTTTGCTTGCTAGGCAAGAGTTCTACCACCGAGCTATATCCCCTTTACTTAGTATTTAGAGTTTAAATTATACTGTATTTGTACTGTTTCTTAAAGAACTCAGCATATTTCCATAGTTGGTAATCTGATTTAACTTAAGAATTATATCTGAGCCAGAATGACCCTTATTTGATCACAAGTGTTTGTATTAATATTCCATTTAAAATCTGAATTCATAATAGTTGAATCTTTAATAATGTTTAATTTCTTAAAATACAAATAACTTCTAAAAATTTGTTATACACAGGATTATCTGAACCATCCTCTGTTGCAAGACATGAAGACAGTTTGTTTAAGGATTTATTTCAAGACTATGAAAGATGGGTTCGTCCTGTGGAATACCTGAATGACAAAATAAAAATCAAGTTTGGCCTTGCAATATCTCAATTAGTGGATGTGGTAGGTGTGCATATTATTACATATTCCTTATCACACCAATTTCATGAGAGTCTGTTGTGTGCCTTTCCTCAAGGAACTCCTCAGGAAAAAATAATTACTGTGCCACAGACATAATGTGTTTATATGGTTTTGTATAATTTGGAAATTGTTTTATCTCATTTGGCAATGATAATAAGTTTGTCTTTCACAAATGCAAAGATACTGAAACATTTTATATTAAAGTTTCTCTTTAAATGTGTTAAACATAGATCAAAAAATTTAAGAGGAAAAAAAGTTTTAGAATTATAGATTCTTAGGTCCAAAAAGTATCTCAACAGGTCATTGTCTCAGTATCACACTACAACATTACAGAGACTTTTCCATGTGACATTCACAAGGGAGAATAAGTTTCCTTGATAACTTTCACTGTCCAAGAGATCCTTCCTATTTAAACTAAAAATTCACACTAATTTTTAAGGTAGTTTCTTCTTGTCCTGGTCATGCTAATCATTATTTACCTGCTATGTTCCCAGAATAGGTCAACATGTGTGTGTGTATATATATACATATATATATATTTTTTTTTCACATATGTATTTTTTAAAATAACATTTATAGATGTGTCATTATTTTCTGATTAGAGAAGTAATGCATGATTTCTGTAGAGTTGGTTTCTTTTTCTTTTGTTTTTGGTACTGGAACTTGAACCTAGAGGCACTTTACCACTCAACTACATCCTCAGCCCTTTCTATTTTTTATTTTGAGAAAAGAAATTACTAAGAGACTTATCTTCAACTTGTGTTCCTCTGCCTCAGCCTCCCTAGTTGCTGGGATTACAGACATATATCACTGCACACAGTTTATAGAGAATTTTTAAAGTGCAAAAGATGCAAATGAAATATATTCTAATTCTACTACCCAGAGATGACTAATGTTAACCTGTTAGGTTGTTTTAGACAGTTTTTTTATTTATATATTTATTTGTGTGTGTGTGTGTGTGTGTGTGTGTGTGTGTATGATAAAATTAGAATATTTTTAGATATGATTTTGATTGCTAACTTTTTCCCTACTATAATGGCTACATGAGATTCCTTTTTAAAAATCCATTCTCCTATTGTTAGCAGATTATTGTTCAGTTTTCTTATTGTAAATAACAATGATGATGTTTATAAACAAATATCTGAATTTCTCCTTTTCTTAAGAAAGGCAGTTAGTCAGGAGTTGGAGGTGTAGCTCAGTGGTACAGTGTTTGTTCATCAAGGCCCTGGGTTTGATCCCTAGCATGATGATATATGTCACCTAGTTGCTTCCAGAGAAATCAGTGAATACATATGACCCTTTGCTAGTTGGTATGGGGAGATATTAAATAAAGATAGGAAAGTAGGAAGTAAGATAAACTGGGGCTTGCTCTCAAAGATCTTTCTTTCTGGTTGAGGCCATTGTAGAGTCACTTCAGAATACTGAAGTACTAAATCATGATGGCATGAATAGCTGGGACTTCAGATCTATCATGATGATTGAGATTATCAAAGAAGGCAGGATAGAGGAGGTGCCAGTTGAGCTGGCCTTATAGTCAGCCGACATGGAAGAGAGTAAAAATACTTTAATAAGAAGGAACAATGGGGCTGAGATTGTGGCTCAGCGATAGAGCGCTCGCCTAGCACGGGGGGAGGGGAGGACCCAGGTTTGATTCTCAGCACCACATAAAAATAAATAAATAAAGGCTTTGTGTTGTGTCCATCTACAAAAAAGATATTGTCTCTCTCTTAAAAAAAGGAACAATGGGCTGGGGTTGTGACTCAGTGGCTCAGTGGTAGAGCATTTGCCTATCATGTGTGAGATAATGGGTTTGATTCTCAGCACCACAAATAAATAAAATAAAGGTCCATCAACATCAATATTTTTAAAAATATTTTTAAAAAGAAGGAACAGTATAATTATAGCTTTGTCAGTGATACTGAGCCTTTTTGTGGAGCTGTTTAGATCAGATTAATGTTGGGAGCCCTGCTACATAGGAAAATGGTGTGACTGAATGGCTGGGCAGGTGAGGAGTGATCCCTGCATACCACCTTGCCTTTGTTTCTGCCATTTCTTCTGCTTGATAATTTTTTCCTTCTGGCATGAGGCATTCATTCCTCAAGGTCAATGCACTGTCAGACCCTTTGTGAAATTTTCCCAGACTCCAAGACAGTCTGGTCCTCTGGTAGTCTCTTGCCCTTTGATATAGTGCCCATTCCACTGGTGCTTGTGTGCTCTGCAGAGCAGGGCTAGCTTTATTCCTGTGTTCAACCCCGAGTCTGGCACATGGTAAATGCTGAATGGGTGAGAGATCCAACAGGCACTAGATATGGCAAAAGCAGTTCTCTAGAAGATCAGTGAGTAACATACATGGTTTTGAAGAAACTTGACAGACAAGTTAGGTCACATAGAAGGGATAATAGAACTTGACCACTGAATGTGGAAGGAGGTATCGCTTTTTTTTTTTTGTACCAGGGATTAAACCTAGGGCGGTTGACCACGGAGACAGGTCCCTAGCCCTTTTTTGTATTTTATTTAGAAACAGGGTCTCGAGGAGTTGCTGAGGCTGGCTTTAAACTCTCGATCCTCCTGCCTCAGCCTCCTGAGCCACTAGGATTACAGGCATGTGCCGCCTTTCCAGGCCAGGTGGCACATTTTGAACCCTAGGTGCCTAGAGTGGTAGAGGAACAGAAACCTGAAATATTGCTATGGGAGTATGGCAGAGGGGATGATGACTTTGTGATTTGAGGTGTTCATTCCAAAGAGAATGTTCACTAGCCCTGGGGAAGTCAAGAACAGCTCTGAGGTGAAAGAGAGACTAAGGATATCAATTTGGAATTGCAGGCTGTGGATGAGTGTTGAAACTTTGGTTAGTTTTTAAAGCTAGTGAAGAAAAGTAGGAACCTGATCCTTGAGGAACATTTGTAGAAAGTGGTAAAATTAACCACAGCAGTGCATGGCTATAATTCCAGCAACACGGGATGCTGAGGGAGGATGATTACAAGTTAAAGGCCAGCCTGAACAGCTTATCAAGACCTTGTCTCAAAATAAAAAAAAAATATAAAGGACTGGGGATGGCTCAATGGTAGAGCACCCCTTTTAAATCTTCAGTACTGTAAGAAAAAAAAAAAAAGAATAAAGTTAGTCCAGTAGAGAAGTTGGAATGTCAGTGACTACAAGAGGGTCTGGAGTCATAGAAGATGAGGTGACTGGTCCTGGGGTTGAAAACAGAAAGTTCATTGAATTGCTTCTAAGTGCTTTTATGATCCTTTCATCATTGGGGTCTCTCAATTCTATAATCATGCTGGTAGCTCTCCCTTGAACTTCCTGTAGATTTCTACCTTATTTCCTACATGTTATCCTGCTCTTTATGTATTTATTTTTTATTTATTTTTCAGTACCAGGAGTTGAACCCAGGGGTGCCTGACCACTGAGCTCCATCCCCAGCCCTTTTTAGTTTTTTATTTTGAGACAGGTTCTCCCAAAGTTGCTGAGGCTGGCTTTCACTTGGGATCCTCCTGCTTCAACCTCTTAGTGTTGCTGGGATTACAGGCGTGTGCCACTGTGCCTGCTTCTATTTTTAAAAATATCTCCATGTTTATTTGTTTGTTTTAATATTATATTTTTATGATCAGGTTAAAAAACTATTACCACTTAAACTTCTGATATGCTTACATGTAGTTTAATCTTCTCCACTTATTTTGTGTTTTCCTCCTGGGTATTGTCCACACTTGTCCTCACTCAGTTTCATTTTGTTGCATCCTCCCTCTGCAGAGCACATTATAGATGCTCAGGAGATACCTGCAGCCACATTAAATTAGGATGCATCCCCTATGGTTAGCCGCCTCATCTTTGAGGCTAGTTGCAAATTTATGGATTATTATTTTAAAAAATTTTAGTTATATATGGACACATTTATTTATTTTTATATTGTGCTGAAGATTGAACCTAGTGCCCCACACATGCTAGGCTAGCACTTTGCCACTGAGCTACAACCTTAACTCCTTATGAATTATTTTTTAATCTGCATTACTGGTAGTTGAAAATACCAAGGTTTGATTGGGTTCTAATCAGAGAGCAAAATATGTGCTCACATTTCTAGAAAAAGGGTTCATTCATCACTTTTAAAGATGACCTACTGCTCTATAGCATCATAGGAATTATATTTACCAGAACTTTCCTAAATATAAATACCTCTGTTTAGAACTTTTGTGGAACAGGCATATTCTCATACTGGGATTAGCAGTTATTTTGGATGGTGTGTGACTTTGGGGTGGGCAGTAGAGCTGGTGGGATAAGGTTTAGATTTAGGAGATTCAAATTTTAGAATTGGTTCTATCACTGACTAGTGTGATTTTAGGTAAGTCACTTCACTGGGCCAGTTTCTATACCTGGAGAATGAAGGAAGGAATTACAGTAGATGAGGTCTCTAGGTCCTCTCCAGCTCTTTCTGTTGCTGCGTTCTGTTGCTTTTGGATGGTGCTGAGGATTGAACTCAGGGCCTTGTGTATGCCAGTCTACCACTGAGCTACATCCCTACCCCTGAACTCTTGTGTTTTAATTAAAGAAAATTGCTCTTGGGAACTACATCTTAAGATGGATGGCTATGCTGATTCCTAGCAATCTTTCCTCCTATGTGTGGATGTCACACAGCTGCTTTTGTCCCTAGGGATGTGCTTTCTTCAAGTTTCCTCCTGCTGTTGGGATAGAATAGGGAAAGGGTAACCTTCAGCTACCCGAGCTATTTACACTGTATTCTCTCCCCAGCTGCTTCTCGCTGCTGTGGCTCTCTTTGCTTAGCCTCATATCCTATACATATCCTGTACTTGTGGTTGGTGATTATGGTAAATTTGGCTTGTTCATTTGATTCCATGAAATTTTAGTAAAACTTGGTAGGAGAAAATTTCACTTTAATTAGGCCTTGAAAATTTGGGGAAGGGCTGGCACAGCAAAGATTTGACAGCTGGAGGAATAAGTGACAAGTCTTAAGGACCCCTTCTCTAGAAAAGTAAGACCTAAAGGCTTTGTGAAATGCTTAGACATCCGTATTTTTTCTACATAGCAGACCCCCAGGGAAGTTCAAATTCTTGCCCACAAGGAATAGTTCCTTGACAATGTACAGAAATGCCATGTCTCACTAATCCTAAAATGCATGCTTTTCCATATTTTGCCATCTCTGAACTAGAATATATCTTATAATTAATGACAGCTTGCAATTCATTGATAGCTTCTCTTCCTTTTGGTGCTAAGCAAATAGAATAATGCTATGTATCTTAGATTCTGTCTTAAATTTGAAGAAATTATAGTAGTTGATACCATGAATGTTAAATCTAAAAATGCCAATGGTATGCTTTAAGATAGTTTATCTGAAGTACAAAGTATGTTGAAAGGAATAATGTGAAATTAGGCTGGAAAAGAATACTAATTTTCTAGAGAACCAGAGTGATAAGCAGAATGTCAATTTTGTATGGAGGATATTTGTATAAAAACATAACGCTTCTTATTTTATTTAAAGAATTGCTTCTATAATTGCAATAATCTTATTTAAATTTTTATTCATAGGATGAGAAAAATCAGTTAATGACAACAAATGTCTGGTTGAAACAGGTATGTATAACATTCAAATGGGCGTCCAGCTAGAAGCTGGCACCACCAATTACCACAGGGCTTACAGCACAAAGGGACATGAATATGTGGTCTTGGTGAATTGGCCGAATACAGAAAAATGACAGTAGATAAATTCTTATGTTGAATCAGTTAATATTTTTCAAGTGCCTTCTGTGTGTCAGGCTCTGTGCTGGGCACTGGGGAAACTTTAGTGAACAAAACAAACTCCAAAATCCTTGCCTTCATGGAATTTCATTCTAGTGGGAGGAAAAGGAACAAGTATCTTAGAAGCTAATGAGCTTGGAGAACACAATCCTCCTGCTCTTGAGGCCCATTGGCTGGGTCGCGTGGGCGGAGCCAAAAAAGTCCCTCAATGAGCAGTTCCCTGGTCTGAAAGGGCAGGGAAACAGTCCAATGAGCATCACCGCAGAGGAGCCAATCAGCTAGATGTTGATTGAAAGAGGTTAGGGAATGTTAAGGACTATACTAGTAAGCAGAATGTTCAGAGAAAATGTCACCTGGAAGGCAAAGTTTGAACAAAGACTTGGAGGAGAAGAAGAAAGCCCTGTGGGTACCTGGGGAGGAACATTCCAGGAGGGACCAGTAAGTGCAAAGGCCCTGAGGCTGGGATGTGTCTCACTTAAAGGAGTAGCAAGGCCAATGTGGCTAGAAATGAGTGAGACATGGTGAGGGGTAAGTAATGGGAGACTAATGGAATAGTGGCTCATAGCGCACTGCAAGGATGTTGGCTTTAACTCTGAGATGGGAGTGGACAAGAATGTAATACGTTATTTTTACATAGAGTGCCTTTTATATAAAGGTCCGCATTTTACTGGGCTACCATACGTATGCCCTCAATAGTTGCTGAGTGCTTCCCTTTTGTTTATTCCACCATTCCTAATTCTTATGCCTATTACCAACATCCCTAACCTGAAACTCCTAAAAAGCAGATGTGCCTTTCTTGGCATGTGACTCTTACCTTGATATGATCACAGAATTGTTACTACCTGGAGGCTGATATGGTGTTTAAATATGTGGAATGTGTAACAAATCTAAATCCCCTTTGCACAGACCAGTCCAGCCAAATTGAGTAACGATACAGTTGGGAAATGAGAATGTTTCCTCTGAACCTTGGGGGCCCATGGCTTCAAGTCCTGGGCATGGTCAGTTGGTGGGAGAAGAGGTGCTGCATGGAGCCATGAGTGCACCAGCTTTGGTTGTCTCCTGTGTCTCATAAGGACCATGAGCCCTGAGTCCATAGCCAGAGCCACTACCTAGAAGTTGGGCTTCAGTGCCCACATCAAAGAGATGGAGTTGAGTTTTCTGTATTGGGGGCAAAGATGATTTCATGTCTAAAATTTCAGGACTTGACAAAGAGTATAATTTTTACTATTTTGACTATTATTTGGTTTGGAATTGAGGCAGATTTCTTCATTTTAAAGGAATGGACAGATGTAAAATTAAGATGGAACCCTGATGACTATGGTGGAATAAAAGTTATACGTGTTCCTTCAGACTCCCTCTGGACCCCGGACATTGTTTTGTTTGATAAGTAAGTTATATTCTAAATGCCATTTTATATTTTTGAAAGAAAACTTGTATTACTATCAGGCAGCAGTCATTTGTTCCCCTTTGAAATTCGTTGAGCTATATATGACTAGATTTTATGTTCCTTTGTTTCTTAAACCTACTAAGAGGTTCTGTGACTCCTCCTTTTTTTCTTGTGTGTACTATTTTTTATCATAAAAGTGTTCTCTGATTTCTGAAATTTGAAAAAGGTTTGGGAAGTACAGGAAGGTGTAAGGAATGGGGGAAATTAGACATAACCATAGTTATTGGCTTACACATATGGTGAAATTCCATGTGTCTGGAATGTGCTAGTAAATGCCTTACGTGCTTTATGTAATTTGATTCTCACAATAACCTCATGCATTGGGTATGAGTATATTCATTTTAAGATAAGAAAATGGAGGCCTAGGGTAGTTACACTTTATTTAAGATCACATAGCTCTCACGTAGTCGGGTAGGGCTTCACACCAAAGCAGTGTGACATTCCTATTTATCCTCCACATACTTGGCAGATTTCCAGATTTTGGGGTCTGTTTTTTAGTTGTGGTCACATATTATGTTCAAAAGCATCCTTCTAATTTTGTTTAAATACTGTATTGTCATTTTCCTGTGATAAGGAATATTGGGTTAATTATTAACCCATCTTTATAGGCATCCTGCCTAGGTATATTTGGAAGATTTTTTTAATTGGGGGAAGAGGAAAATTTTGGGTACCAGTTTCATTTCTTATTCTAGGACCACTCTGGGGAAAATCAGGAAATTTGTGCTCATTCTAAAGTACTTTGTCTTATTTGCAAAAAGGCATTTGACACAATGCAGTGTAAAAATAATCTTTTGAAACTTTTGACCTCCCTTTTTTCTTTCCACATATTTTTTTTTTATTGGTGCACTTCCATGTTTCTTGATAGAGAAGGGTAAACAAGCTTGTGAGGTAATGTGCTAACAACCTTCTTTAATTACTCTCAGTAATTAAAGACTTTTTTATACCACACATAGATATATTACAGAGTACTGTATAAAAGGTACATGAATCTGAAGATAAACACAGTTTTGAAACAAATCATGTGTTGGGGTACAGCTTCTTACTAGGCTTCTTCAGCATAGGAGTTTACTTGTGGGAGAGCCCAACAAGCACTGCTGTCTTCCAGGGCTGTGCCCAGGGGGAGCATTCTTTTCCTGGTACCATGGAAAATGTCCAGTGTTTGTGGTGGAGAAGAAAGAACTCCATGTGGGGAGTCTAGGAATGTGAATTCAGGTTCTGGCTCTGTGCATGTCCTGTGTATAAATAGCCTGATTTTATTTTGTGTGTAAAGTGAGCTTCTTTCAACTGCTAAAATTGCAAAATGAAAAGTATGGATTTTTCAGCCCTGGAAAACATGTAGAAGTTGTTCAGTTCCAGTAAGGTCAGATGTTTAAGGAAGATCTCTAGAGCAGCGTCCCCTATGTACAGCAGGTAGTAATTTTAAAATATTTCATGCTGTCAGTTATAGGCTTTCTTTTATTTTTGGCTTATACAGTGCATGATTGAGTTGTATTTTCTGTTTTGTTACTGAACATGTTTGTATTTTAGTGCAGATGGACGTTTTGAAGGGGCCAGCACAAAAACAGTTGTCAGGTACAATGGTACTGTCACCTGGACACAGCCAGCAAACTACAAAAGTTCCTGTACTATTGATGTCACATTTTTCCCATTTGATCTCCAAAACTGTTCCATGAAATTTGGCTCTTGGACGTACGATGGATCTCAGGTTGATATAATCCTAGAGGACCAAGATGTAGACAAGACAGATTTTTTTGATAATGGAGAATGGGAAATTGTGAGTGCAGCGGGGAGCAAAGGAAACAGAACTGACAGCTGCTGCTGGTACCCCTACATCACTTACTCCTTTGTAATTAAGCGACTGCCTCTCTTTTATACCTTGTTCCTTATTATACCCTGTATTGGGCTCTCATTTCTGACAGTAGTTGTCTTCTATCTTCCTTCAAATGAAGGTGAAAAGATTAGTCTGTGCACTTCAGTCCTTGTCTCTCTGACTGTCTTTCTTCTGGTTATTGAAGAGATCATACCCTCCTCTTCTAAAGTAATACCTCTGATTGGAGAGTACCTGGTGTTCACCATGATTTTTGTGACCCTATCAATTATGGTGACTGTCTTCGCCATTAACATTCACCATCGCTCTTCCTCAACACACAACGCTATGGCACCCTGGGTCCGCAAGATATTTCTTCACAAGCTTCCCAAACTGCTTTGCATGAGAAGTCACGTAGACAGGTACTTCACTCAAAGAAAGGAAACCGAGAGTGGTAGTGAACCAAAATCTTCAAGAAACACGTTGGAAGCTGCACTTGATTCTATTCGCTACATTACAAGACATGTCATGAAGGAGAATGATGTCCGTGAGGTCTGTGACATGTGTTTATGAATGCAGTTCTGCTTGGATTCTAAGAGGGGACTGTAATGATTCAGCATGACCATTAAGACTAAGCATAGACTGAGGGATACATTGCTATTTTTTAAAAAAAATCTTATGGTCTGGGGGTGTAGCTCAGCAGTAGAGTGCTTGCCTACTGCTGTGCAAGACCCTGGGTTTAATCCCCATAATGCCTAGTATGGAAAAAAACCAAAGAAACAATTAAGGGGCTGGGATTGTAGCTCAGCAATAGTGCACTTCCCTCACAAGTGTAAGGCATTGGGTTGGTTTCTCAGTACGCATATAAATAAATAAAATAAAGGCCTATCAACAACTAAAAAAAAAAAATCCTAAAAAAAAAAAATTAAAACCCGTTTCCATTAAACCCTGGCAAAATGGAGCATCTCTACATCTCTGGGGCAACTATACTTCTCTCCATTTCTCCCAGCAGCATCTTGGGTAACTTAAAAGAAATTTTATTGGTATGCATTCAAAGGAATAGTAATCTTGACATTAATTAAGATACTGTCTTAATTTTATCTTCAGTAACTTTGCTTCTGAATTCAATGATAATCAGCAGGCACAAATGCATTATAATTTATCAAAACTTTTATTTTTAAAAGAAGGAGTCTAATGTAGGCTCTTTAAAAATACAGTCAAGATATTTTCCTAGAAAAAAATTTTTTTGTGGTTCATTAATAGGAAATTTTAATAAAATTAAAAGGAGTAAGGTGTTCTTGTGTATTAGTTATTATAGTTCAAAGTGTTCATATGAAACTTAGTAATAGTGCTTAATAATATGCTTAATTTGCTTAAGATTTTATTATAGAAAACAAGTTTCACTTGTTGTTATTTAAGGTTAATTAACATTTAAAATATAAGAGCTGAACATATGTACATTTTACCAATGTGGTAATATTGAACTGTTTTTTTTTCTCCAAAATGTTTGAAATTTTCAATTGTGTCAGTTTTTCTTCATTTCTATTGTGTAATGTTTTTAAAGCTATGATTATAACGATACTTTCATAACTGAATTAACTTTACATGGTCCCATAAAAATTATATAAATTTTAATTTCTAAAGCTTTTGTTTTTAATGGAAAGTTTTCTAGCAGGTGTAGGTAGGAAATAGAACAAGTCTAATAAATAACAGCCAGCACCAGAGTGCACACCTACAAATCCCAGCTTCTCAAGAGGCTGAAACAGAAGGATCATAATTCAAGGCCAGCCTCAGCAACTTGGTGAGACGCTGTCTCAAAGTAAAAAAATAATGGGGCTGGAGCTGTGGCTCAGCGATAGAATGCTCACCTAGCACATGTGAGGTGCTGGGTTCAATCCTCATCACCACATAAAAATAAGTAAATAAAATAAAGATATTATGTCCAACTACAACTAAAAAATATTTTTTAAAAAAGGGCTGGGGATATGGCTTAGTGGTATATGAGGACATGGCTTGGGGGCGGGGGTGGGGTGTAATCCCTAGTATGGGAATTGGGAGTGAGAGGAAAAAAAACTTCCTCCCAAAAGGGATATATCACACACAATTCTAGTAAACTTTTTTGTTTTTTGTTTTGAAACAGAGTCTTGCCATGTTGCCAAGCTGGCCTCAAACTTTTGGGCTTAAGAGATCCACCTGCTTCAGCCTCGCTGGTAGTTGGGACTAGAAGCACATGCCATTGCACCTGGTTTACTTATAATGAACTTTTTTTTTTTTTGTACCAGGGATTGAACCCAGGGACACTGAACTATGTCCCCAGCCTTTTTAAAATATTTTATTTAGAGACAGGGTCTCTTATGAGTTGCTGAGGGCCTGCTAAGTTGCTGAGGCTGGCTTTGAATTTGCAATCCTCCTGCCTCAGCCTCCCGAGCCACTGGGGTTACAGGCATGCTCCACTGTGCCTGGCACTTAAAATGACTTTTAATGCTTGTGGATTTGTAAAGTTTCTATATGATGGTAGTATAATTAAATTAGTTTATAAGGTCTGAAGCTACCAATGAATGGAGTCTTTAAAAGTGGATTTATTTTAGATAATGATTTAGACTGAGATGGAATTTAATAAATGTCTACAAAGAATTGTGCAAAAACAGTAGGGCTATAAACTAGGACCAGGAAATAAATTTTATTTCCAAGACAAAACTTAGAAGCAGAGAAGTAGTGGTGTGTTTAGAATTCTCTGAATTCTAAACTATCCCACAAGTTGGGGGCATTGTTTCTGTGAGGACCCTGTGCTTCACAGAGGCTCAGGGAGAGGGAAACCCTGCCCCTCACCCCACCCCACCCCCAAGGAAATGGCATGTTAGGAAAGGGAGCTTCTAGTGATCAGTGGCTGGCTCAGCTGGCCCTTCCCTCCAGGTGACTCCTAAAGGGTATCCCTAAAGCTGGATCCAGAGCCAGTGGTTTCATCCTCATGAGTTTAGATAAAAATAGTCCCTAGGAAATCCAAAAGTCAATAAAGTAGTACAAAAGTAGTATAAAAATGTACTGCTGGTGGTCGTGGGAGAAGATTATAGCTTTCTAATGTGGATTATTCTGAACCAACTTTTAATTTGATATAAAATTAACCTCAAGCCGTTGTCTCTCAAAAAATTACACTACATTCTTGCAACTACTAGCCAAGATTAAGTTAATAAAAAAAAAAAACCTAAATACTGGGGTTGTGGCTCAGCAGTAGAGTGCTTACCTAACACACTGGAGGCTCTGGGTTCGATTCTCAGCATCACATAAAAATAAATAAAATAAAAGCATTGTGTTCAACTACAACTAAAAAATAAATACTTTAAAAAACCCTAAGTACTAAAAATACATTATTTTTTAGTTTATTACAAAATATCCAAGTAGTGTAGGCACTTTATTAAAAAAATCTTCAAACCTCATAATGTATTCCAGGCTGGTATGTAAAGGAACAAATTTTATAATGTCTTTTCAAGCTTGAACAGGTTGTATTTGTTATAAACCACCAGGGTGTTCTGTCCCTGAACCCTAAGGTCATACTGTTTGGAGGCAGTAAATGATTGCCCCCTAACTTAGTGTGTTATATCTTTAAATATCTACACAACTTTATTTTAATGTGTTTTTATTTTTATTTTTGTAACAGGTTGTTGAAGATTGGAAATTCATAGCCCAGGTTCTTGACCGGATGTTTCTGTGGACTTTTCTTCTGGTTTCAATTATTGGATCTCTGGGTCTTTTTGTTCCTGTTATTTATGAATGGGCAAATATAATTGTACCAGTTCATATTGGAAATACAAATAAGTGAAACTTTGAAGGGTTTGAATTTAGTTACAAAACATATATCTATCATGGCATGTCTACACTTAGGCAAATATAAAGTTGTGTTTAAAATATGATGTAAGCTAACATTGGTTTGCCTAATAGGGTATACATTAGTACATCTACCTGCATGGCTGAAGTAATGACTAAAAATAACAGCAAAATATTATCCAAACTGTACTAGTGAAAATCTAGTGTTTTCCTAGTTTGTAATCAATAGTGATGCTCATCTTTTGGTTTTTTGTTTGTTTGTTTGGTTGGTTGGTTTTTGGTGCTGGGGATTGAACCAAGGCTTGGCACATGCTAGGCAAGTGCTCTACCCTCGGAGCTATACCTCGAACCTAAGCTCATCTTTTGAGTGCTGGAAAATTCTAGTTGTGTTTGAAGACATATTCTAAAACTTCTTCAGGATTTGGTAAAGGTATACTTTTTTTTTTTTTTGAGATGTGATCTTGATAAAGTGCCTAGACTGGCCCCAAACTCTTGGGCTCAAGTGATCTTCTTGCCCTCAACCTCCTGAGTAGCTGGGACTACATGTATGTGTCATTTGTGCCAGGCTAAGGGATACCTTTAAAAATTCTTTCTGTCCTATATTTAATAATAACAGCTAATCTTCAGTGTATTCTGCTCTCATAAGTAAGCTGATTACTCAGTATAAGAGTGACTTAAAATGATGCTGCTATTCTATAACCAACATTTTTAATAAATGAAAAATGGAGATTGGACACTCCTTTAAGGCTTTATTCTTTAGATGTTTAAACCAAGTAAATATTTTATTAACTATCTTTATAGCTTTCCTTCCATTGTAAAATCACATACCAGACAATTCTTGTCAACGTGCAGGAGCATGTTCTTAACATTAATTTCAACCCCCTTGTACATATTCTCCACAATTAATAGAGCCATCTATACAAACTAGGGTGGCATCTCTTTATCCTTGATCTCAGAAGAGTTCACTGTAATTACATAAATTTAAAAAATTTTAAAAGCATGTCTATGTCTAGAACATTCTATGAGAAAACCATCTTCTAAGCTTAAAGATGGTATTCTAATTTGGTATAAGCATATTATTACATATGTAATACTTGCTTTCTTTCATTTCAACAATTACAATAATAGAGTATTGGAGTTGCAGGATGTTTAGATTTAATCTAGTCTTAGCCTTTTACTAGTACAGTATATATCAGTAAGTATAGTACATCATCTCCAAATGTCCCTGACTCACCTGTAACCAGGAAGAAAACACTGATAGAAACCTTGCGTTAAATTTAGAACTCTTGGCTGTTGAGATAGTAAATGCATTATTTATTTATAGTAAGAAACCCATCTATCTTCAAGTCAACACTCTTTGGAGGGAAAAGGAGACCCTGTCAAATTTACATTTTTACTATAGGCAAGTGTTTAATGCCACTTAATGAGTGAAAGTTTGTGCTACAGTTTGGATAAGTGTTCCCAAAGGCCTGTGTGTTGAAGGCTTGGTTGCCAGCCTGTGATGTCATTGGAAGGCTATTAGGGGTAGAGCCTAGTATAAGGAAGTTAGGACAGTAGAGGTGTGTCCTTTAAGGGAATACTGGGATACCAGGCCCTTCCCACCAACCACCTCTCTGCTTCTTGGCCACTATGTGATAAATAGCTTTGTTCTACCCCATGCTTCTCACCATGATGTGCTCCTTGCTACAGGCCCCCAGAACAACATGACAATTGACCATGGACTGAAACCATGATAATCTTTTCTTCCTTTAAGTTGATTATCTCAGGTATTTTGTCAGTGACAGAAAAATAATACAGAAAATGAGTATCAAGAAATCAAGTCTTTGGTCAGGTGTGGTGTGCATGCCTGTAATCCTAGTGGCTCAGAACGCTGAGGCAGAAGGAACACAAGTTCAAAGCCAGCCTCAGCAATTTAGTGAGGCTATAAGCAATCTAGTGAGACCCTGTTTCAAAGTAAAAAGGGCCAGGGATGAGGCTGAGTGGTTTAGTATCCTTGAGTCCAATCCCTGGTACAAAAAAAAGAGTCATTGCTATGACTATTCCTGACAGTGCCATTCAGAAGCATTTGAAATTGGATTGTGGGAAGAATTTGGAAAAGTTTGGAGAAGTAGAGAAAGCCTATAATGCTATAAACAGATTAACAGGTGTTTCTGGTGAGGTCTCAGAAGACCAGAATGCTGATAGAAATGTGGACAGTATATGCTTATGGGGGTTCCAATGGAAATAAAGACTCTATTTGGAATTGGATTTTGAGGCCACTGTATTATATTGTGGCAAAGAATCTGGATTCATTTTGTCCATGCCTAAGACTTTGTGGGAGGCAGAGCTCAAGTGTGATGGACTGTTTTATTTGGCAGAGGAAGTTTCACAGCGGCACAACATTCAGGCTCAAGCTTTGGTGTGGGTATTACCGGCTGTTTTTAGTCAGATTTACAGTGAGAGTTGGGAGCAAAAAAAAAAAAAAAGGAAAAGCAGAAAGACTTTCCTTAGGTAAGAGTGCACGGGGACACCCTGCTCACACAAGGCCATCTAGGAAGTAGGTACTCAGGCTGCTGCAGCCATGGTTCAAGTGGGTCCTGGTACATACAGCTCATGCTGGTAGCAGACCTTGGGGTCTTCCACAAATGCTGGCTGTGCAGACATGCAAAATACAAGAGTTGTGGAGTCACACAGGCTTCCACCAAAATTTAGAAGGAATTCCTGAGTGGCCAGGCATTGTGTGATAGGTGAAAGCCCCTGCAAGCAGCCCTCAAGATATGCTTGAAGCTGTGAGAATAAAGCAGAAGCTGCAGTGGAAACCCCAGGAAGTTAAAGATTCTGGAACATTGAATGCCTGCTGAGGTAAGTTGAAGGCAGCAAGCAAAGCCTGCCCAAGAGAGTAGCCATGTGGGCTACAGCCAGCAAGGGCACAGAGGCAGGACTGCCCAAGCCCTTGGGATCCCACAGTCTGCCACTGCATGCCTTGGATGCCAGACATGGTGACTTACGGTTCAGTGTTTTCCTGCTGGGTTTTGGTACTTTGGTCTGATCTTTCCTATCTATTCCCCTACTCCTCACTTTGGGAACAGGGATGTCTACCCTATGCTGCTATATCTTGGAAGTGTGTAACTTTTTGATTTATATATCAATTTTTTTTAAGCAGGAACTCATAGCCAACTTTGCCTTGAGTCTTGAAGGTGAGTGATTCTGGAATATTTAAATTTTGAAGACTCTTAGAGAAAGATCTAAATGATTTTGCATTACGGGATGGACATGAGCTTTTGAAGGCCAGAGGCAAAAAAGCTATAGGTAGGGTAAACATCTTCCAAAGGCCTGTATGTTGAAGGCTTGATTGCCAAACTGTGGCATTATTGGGAAGTGGTGGAACCTTTAGGAGGTAGAGCCTAGTAGAAGGAAGTTAGGTCACTAGGGTGTATCCTTTAAGAAAATACTACTAGGACTCCAGCCTCACCCCTCCCCCATTTCCTGGCCACTATGAGATAAATAGCTTTGCTCTACCACATGCATCCCACCATGACATACTGCCTCATAGTAAGCCCAGAAGCAATATGCCAATCAACCAGGGACTGAAACCTCTGAAATGGTGAGCCAAAATAAGCCTTTCCTCTTTTTAGGTTGGTTGTCTCAGGTATTTTGTCACAGTGATGAAAGTAGTTAATAGTCTGGTTTGATGTAAATTGTTTCTTAGCTGTCTTAGCTTGTGTCATCCCTGATCTCTCATATCCCTGTCACTGTTACTTAAGATTTTTATATATCAGTAAATTTTACAGAAATCTTCTTTTGACTTACCAGAACAGGTCACAGTGGACTGCAATTGTATTTTTACTTTTATATAAGAAAAATATCACAGTAACTAGTGAGAAGATTCAAGTGGCCTCTGAATCATCATCCTTGTCAGTAGTTATTCATCTTGAAAAGTATAGTATGGAAAACTCTTCTAATAATTTGTCTAAAGCAATACTTCTCAACCAATGCCAATTAAATTATTTCTGGAGACATTTTTGGTTGTCACAACTGGTGAGGGAGCAGGGCTTGTCACTGGCATCTAATAGGTAGAGGCCACAGTCCTTCTAAAGATCCTACAGTGCACAGGACATCCTCAGTCCCCCACCCGAACACACAGTTATTCAGCCAAAATGGTAATAAAGCTAATAAAGTTGAGAAACCCCTGTTCTAAAGGTTCACACTCTGGTTTGAATGTGTCTCTTTAAAATTATGTTGAAACCCAACACCCAGAGTGACAGTATCAGAAGGTGGAATCTTTAGGAGGTGATTAGTCATAGGGACATGCCCTCACAAATGGGATCAGTACCCTTATAACAGAGACCCCAGAGAGATAACTCAGCCCTTCAGCCAGGTGAAGACTCAACTAGAAGGCACCCTCCATGAGGAAGAGAGCCCTACTAGACACTGAGTCTTGCTGGTGCCTTGATTTTGGATTCCCCAGGCTCCTAAATTGTGAGAAATAAATGTCTACTTATAAGCTACTCAGTTTATGGTATTTGATTATAGTAGCCTGAATGTGTGACTGGGTATAATTTCTTATGGGATGATTTGGAGTTACACAAGATAAATAGCTGAAATGGAGCTATGCCCCTTAGACTTCTTGAAAGACAGTAAAAAATAAGAAATGCACAGTAAGAAATGGTAGTATTGGGAATACTCCTGAAGTAAAAACTTAAAGGAGATTATGGGCTAAATAATATTTGGAGATTTGTAGTATACTGAACAAGATTTTCATATTTCTGAACAGGAAGTTTTTTTATCCAGTTAGGTTTCAAGCAGTCAAAAGAAAACAAAAAATAAAAACTGTTTTCACATGCTCCATAGTATAGTACACTACTTAATCACTGTGGAAGAACTGAGGTTTTTTTTTCTTTTCTTGTGGTACTGGGTATTTAGCCTAGGAATATTTTATCACTGAGCCACATCTCCAGCCCTTTTTATTTTTATTTTAAGACAGGGTCTCACTGAGTTGCTTAGAGCCTAAGTTCTTGAGGCTGGCCTCAAAATTTGTTCTTCTGCCTTAGCCTCCTGAGTCACTAGAACTACAATATGTGCCACCATGCCCAGGTAGAATAATTTATATTTTAACATTTCTTTATCTTGTCAAAAAGACTAAATGTTCATTTATACATATAAGTATTCTTGTTGGGTTTCTTTGCATGATTTTTTCCTTTCCTTTTTGGCCAAAAACCAGGGCAATAAGTAAATCTTGAAATGCCAAAATCAAAGCTGGTAGCATGGTAACAGAAAATGTATTACTATTAAGAAACAGACATCTCCCTCCCTCAAAACACACACAGGTAAGCCTCAGGCAAACACAGGTCAGTGCTTACGCATCATCCCTGGCCATCAGGGGTTGCAGAAACAATCCTGCTGTCCCTAAAATGCACACCAAGATGAAAACCCATAGAAAAATGCGATCAATCACCATGGCAACATATTTCCAGTCGTCTTGAATCTGAAAAACAAAAAATAAATAAAAATCATGAAAGAGAAAGCACAAGGGGAAAAGCAAAGTGAATGTGTGTATGTGGGTGAGGGGGCAGTGCTGGTCTTGAACCTGGAGTCTTGTACATGCTGGGCAGGTTCTCTACCACTGAGCCACATCCCCAGCCCCAAGTGGATAGTTTCAATATTTAACAATATGTGGCCATATAAGAAGTCATTTTATCTCCAATATGCAAGAACTCTCTTTTTTTACTCAATGTGGTCTGAAGAAATCTACCATCAAGTTTTGCTTCATGCAGTGGAGAAATAGGTATGAAATATTTATCATATTAGCTCTGTTTCAAATGAGAAATTTCTAGGCCTTTATAACCCATTTTTTCTAAATTTCAGTTTTGTAAAGTTAGCAAAACCAGTTATTTATGCCTCTATTTTGGGCCTTTGTTTGAATGGCTAGTACAACCCAGCATCACTTGCTATTATTTCAAGTACTCATTCTTTTCCAGTTTTAGATGCTAATCTTACATCTGTTGCAAATGTGAAAAAGCACATCAGGCAAGTCTATCATCCTTTTCTTTCCTAGTACTCCATTCCAGAATGCCCACAGACCAAATGTCATCTTCAGATGGAAGGTCAAAGTACAATGGAATGCTATACAGTATTATTTGAGGTTCAGCTTGCCCTACACAGTTGAAATAACTGCTGACAATGAAGTTTTTTTTAAAAAAATGGAAGAGAGTGCAACACTAATTGTACATAATACAGCTTCAATTGAGGCTTGAAATAGGAAAAAGAATTGTATGGTAATTAAACTCCTAGACGATTCAGAAAGCAAAGGAACCATAATTGAATTGAGAAGGAGAGAATCCATGAATCAACTGATTTTGAAGCAATAATCACATAATAAAGAGGCAGCATGTAATTTTGTAATTTAATTAAGTGCCCCGAATTGGGACTAGGAAATGTGGATTTTACTATTATGAGCTTGAGTAAATGTGTCCTCTCGGTGACACTAAGAAGCCATTGGTAAAGTTATAATGCCGTGTTTGCCACAAGTTACTTTATTTGAATTCCTAAGACTGGTTTGTAAGTGCTTCAGATCTACCAGGGGCTCTGATTTCTACCCATATACTATAGGCTGAGCCTCCTAAGGGTGTAAGAGGCAGGCAGGTGGGAAAATAGAGACCTGGAGACAGATTTTGATTATAATATCACTCTGCTCCTTTCTAGTTGTAAGAATCTAGGTAAATTCTATCTCCTCCCTTAGCCTCAACTTATTTATCTATAAAATGGGAATAAGAACAATACCTACCTCAGAGGGTTATTTTGGTACAGAGTCCTTAATGAACAGTATCTATTGATGTTAATGTTGATTTGAAAAAATGACTAATATCCCCATTTAAATCTCCCTCTGACTGCACTTCACATGGTTCAGCCCAATGAAGAAAAACTGGATTTGTGTCTTAGACATGGGTACAAAGGGGGGCATGAATTTTAAGTCTCCCCTCCCCCTCTCTCTCTCGACATTTTTAGTTGTAGAAGGACATGATACCTTTATTTTGTGTATTTAGGTTTTTTTATGTGGTGCTGGGGACCAAAGCCTCAAGCGCGCTAGGCAAGTGCTCTACCCCTGAGCCACAACACCAGCCCTAAATCTAACTCTTAAAGCCTTTAAAGCACAATGATATTGGCCATTCTCTAGAAACGTTGAGACTAAATGAATCGAGGGTAGATGAGAGTTGGGCAAAATGGTGAACAGGCCCAAGCTCCTAGCTCCCTTGCAAGCACAACCCTGGAGATGGCCCAGAAACAAGAAACTCTAAAGACTCTCTGAAACCAAAATAGGGAAATGGTGGCCTGGGGAGTGGGCATAGCAGGTGGGGTGGCAGGTGAGCCAGGAAGGGGTCTCCATGGAAGGAGAAGGTGGAGGAGTTTTGGTGTGGTGCTCTTTCTGGCCCTGCCTCATTACCACCTCAGCCTGTCGGCTCCCTTCCCAGAGATGCAGGCTCAGGGGTGATGTGCAAGGCCAGCAGAGCCTGGCTGATGGGAAGATCAGAGCATAGAAAGGTGCCCACTGATTGGAGTAGCTGAAGCTCCCTTCCTCTCCTCCCACATCAAGGACTGAACTACTTTAGTCCAGCAGAAGGGACTGGAAGAGATCAGAGTTAGGCAGGAGGTGGCCAGACATTTCTTTAGGAACAAAGTACCTAGAAGGGAGGCAGCACCCTCAAAGGGAAATTACCCCAGTTTGTGACCAGATGTCCTCAGCCTTGTGCTGTCTGACTTTTGGCCCTTCCCTCAAACAATTCACCAAGGACAGCTGACTCTCCCTGGAGGAAGGGCGTTTACAGGCCTAAAAGACACACATTTAGCCATCTGGAGGAAAGTGAACACATTAGACAGGGCAAGGACTTAAAAATGCTCTCCTCTAAGATAAGAGAACACTGGAAGCATGAAGTAGAAACAAGGAGTTTGACAGAAGAACCACTAATTGTAAAAGGTACAAAAAATAGTAGGTGTGAAAATAGAAAATTTGTGACAAAGAACTCAAGAGATGAGCTAACTAGCAGGGTAGATACGGCCCAGGAAAGCAGCAGTGGTGGGGCGGCGAGGCTGAGGAGCCATCCTGGGTGGCAGGAAGGATGGAAGAGCTAAGAAATGTCATGAGAAAACTAAGATGAGGAAGCAAGATGCAGACATATTCAGGTGGGTACAGTACAAACTCAGGAAAGAATACAGGAAGGGGGTGAGAAGGAATCTCTACAGAAACCATAACCTTGGATGTCCCAGCAGTATAGAAAGATGGAAGCCCAGAATGAAAAGGCTCCTAAGAATGCCAGACTGATAAGGTGGGACCCCACACCTACTAGACACATTGTGTTTGATGTCATTAGATTTCTCTAAAAATAGAAAGTTCTAATAGCTTCTAGGTAGAATCAATTACAAAGGCACAGCATTAAGACAAAACTTTCCCCCAAAGAGGTACTGAGGCAAAATGACCTTGAAGCCATAGATAGATAGATAAACTACATATAAATATATAGCTACACACATATATAAATAATTTTAAGTATTTAAGGAAAAGAACTTAAAACACTAGCATTTTGTATCCAACTAACAGCATCCGGAACTTCATGACCAAGAAAAAGTCTTGTAGTTGCCATGTGCCTCAATTTATATATTTGTAATATTGAAATAATAATAATAGTATAGACCTCACAGGATTATTGCAGGATAAAATGAATACACACACACACACACACACACACACACAAGTGAAGTCACAATAAGTTAAGCCTTCCAGGCCTTAGAAGGTTTACCCATAAACACCCTTGAGGAAAGCATGTTGCTAAGAAATCCAGGGTACACCACAGGATACATGTGAAGGGTAAAAGTAAATTCATGGTAGACTTTAAAAACTGAATGACAGAAATGAAAAAGTACATTCATCAAAATTCTGAACAAGAAAAAAAATCCTGAACTAGGCAAGGGGGCATGGGAGGATTAGATGAACTCTAGATAGGGCAAAAGGGAGGGAAGGGAAGGGAGGAGGCATGGGGAGAGGAAAGATGATGGAATGCTATGGTCATCACTACCCTAAGTATATGTATGAAGACACGAAGAATATGACTCTACTTTGAGTACAACCAGAGAGATGAAAAATTGTGCTCTATATGTGTAATATGAATTGTAATGCATTCTGTCATGTAACAAATTAAAATTTAAAAAACTCCTGAACTAAGATACTAGTAACACCTAATGTGGCTGCAGGGCATGAGGAAGACCACAGGAGAGGTGCGTCTGTGGCAGGCAGGATACAGATATTGAAAAATGTAAGAGACTGATTTGATGGATAGGGAAAAGAGAATTGAGTATGGGTTTAAGGCAGTAAAAACCACCAGAAGAATAAAAAATAGAATATCATGTGGCTTTCATGTATTTTATTTATAAAAATTAAAACTTTCTCATATACAGCAAGAACTGAGGAAAAAACAAACAGGTAAATGGAAGACATTGGAATAAGGCAAAAAATATAACCCTGATAAAACTAATCACAACACAAATTAATCATTGCTCATAGGTCATGCTGTGATTAGAATGAATGAATAATCCACCAAATAAAACAAGCTGCTTCCAAACAATGAGCTTAAAAGATCATGACTGATCTGTGCACCTCCAAGATCTCTAGAGCAGCATGTACAGTGGACAGCCAGGGTGTGATCAGCCACCAAAACTGCTGTCAATAAACAGTCCTTCCCCAGGTGAGTTCTAGTTTTCTAACTTGGTAACCCACTTCTAATTCCCAACGAGAGCATTCAGCATTAAAAGGGAAATTTCCAGCAGGCTGCAGTGGCACAGAATTAATCCCAGTGACTGAGGCCAAGGCAGGAGGATTGCAAGTTCAAGGACGGTATGGGTCCCTGTCCCAAAAAGAGCTGGGATGTAGTTCAAGCACCTCTGGGTTCAATCCCAGTAAGGGGATGGGCGGAGTTCTTTACACCAATTAAAGCTAGTAAGGTTTATCTGAACAAAACAAAATAAAACTACTTCTCCAATTGGGCAGCTCCCAGAACCTGAAAATGTCAACCAAAAATATGATCCAACAACATGCATAGGGAAATAGATGTGACACACAGAAAACAACTTAACTGACTATGGCTTAACTAGTTAATTGGCTACAGGGCCTTCTGCAACCAACCAAAGGTCTGTTACTGTGATTAAACTCAACATTGGCTTGGTCCATTGGGCCTGTGCAGGTACCCAGTCAAAAATCCATGGCCTCCCATAAGTTTTTATTTAACATTAAGGATGATCATTCCCAGGCTTGCAGCAGCCTCTGGAGATAGCTGGGAAAACAGCCTAGGATACTGTCTAGGCTCTGTGGAGCCAGGGACAGTTAACACCTGCCAAGTTTGAGCCAAAGAATAGGAAATTAAAATATCTCTGGAGAACTGTAAATAGCAGTGTCAGTTACTCAATAAGAGGGAAAGAAGAAATCCTTCAGGGGGATCCACTCTTCTGAGCATTGAGCAGCCACATTTATCCTAACACCCCCTCATATGTGTGTTGCAATCTGCTGGCTGCATGGCCAGATTTCTGCTTTCTCTGGAAAACTAGAAGGATCTACCCACATTCTCATGTAGTAACAGATGTCCAGAGGTGAGGCAGTGCCTGCCCCTTGAGATGGGTCTCGTACTACTCGTTTGCCATAGATCCTTCCAAACCCTCACAGCTTGCATAATGTCTAGGAAATAATTTTTGGAATAAAGGTCATCTTAGCCTGAAAAGGCTAGAATGTAGGTACTGAGATCTCAACCTTTAATAAAATCATTGCTAACTCAAGTGATTATTTGAAAAGGGTTAGGAAAATGTAGAGAATGTCCTCAAAAGTTATCAGTGTTGAATAGATAAGAGATTTCCACTGATCATTTATTTAATGTCCAGTAACAGTTTCAACCAAATTTAAAGGAATGCCTATCTTTTTGGCTAAATTAATGGCATCAGCTGGAGATTTTGCATTGTTAAATCAGCCCTGAGACTGCTCCAGGTAGCTCAGATGGCTGGGTGGGGAGCTGTGGCTGTTTGCTTCCTTTCTCATCTGCTTTGGGATGCTACTGAGCTGACTAAAGGGCTCCAGGCATTCCTGACTAACATTAATTACCTACCATGCATCAGGAGCTGAAATTATCTTGTAATAGCTCTTTGCTAATAAACAAGGCAGAGCCAATTAATTTAAAAGCAAAGACTTTTATAAAATCAGTGAGCATGATCCTGGCAACCTTGGGGGCATACAAAGGGTCATGAAACAGCCAGACACATGACATTATTTCATGTAAAATTTACCTATCCTTAACGTTAGTTCTGGTAGAAGGTTTTTAGTGAAAATAGAACTAAGTTCACCCAATTCTTTAAAAAGAGCAAAAGAATGTGAATAGATATTTCACAAAAGAAGATATCCAAATGGCCAATAAGCATATGAAAAGAGCCCTAGTAATTACTCAACCGGAAATACTAATTTGAACTGCAGTGAGATACCACTTAGCACATCTTGGAGAGGAGGTGAAGCACCTGGAACTCTCACACATTGCTGGGGAGTGATAGTTGGTTCAAACTCTAGAAATTTTACAATATCCACTAAAGTTAAAAATACATCTTTCCTGTTGAGGCTACAGCTCAGTGGCAGAGCATTTGCCTCATATGTGTGAGGCATGGGGTTCAAGCCTTAGCACCACACACACACAAAATAAATAAAATAAATAAAGGCATTCTGTCCATTTACACCTACAAAAATTTTTTTAAAAATACATTTCGTTGACAAAATCATGGAATCTGCAAGGAAATGGATGGCATTAGAGCAGATTATGCTAAGTGAAGCTAGCCAATCCCTAAAAACAAATGCCAAATATCTTCTTTGATATAAGGAGAGCAACTAAGAACAGAGTAGGGAGGAAGAGCATGAGAAGAAGATTAACATTAAACAGGGATGAGAGGTGGGAGGGAAAGGGAGAGAGAAGGGAAATTGCACGGAAATGGAAGGAGACTCTCATTGTTATACAAAATTACATACAAGAGGAAGTGAGGGGAAAGGGAAAAAAACAAGGGGGAGAAATGAATTACAGTAGATGGGGTAGAGAGAGAAGATGGGAGGGGAGGGGAGGGGGGATAGTAGAGGATAGGAAAGGCAGCAGAATACAACAGACACTAGTATGGCAATATGTAAAACAGTGGATGTGTAACCAATGTGATTCTGCAATCTGTATACAGGGTAAAAATGGGAGTTCATAACCCACTTGAATCAAATGTGTGAAATATGATATGTCAAGAACTATGTAATGTTTTGAACAACCAACAATAAAAATTTAAAAAAAAATACATTTCGTGCTGAGGTTGTGGTTCAGTGGTAGAGTGCTTGCCTCACATGTGTGAGACCCTGGATTTTATCCTCAGCACCACATAAAAATAAATAAGTGAAATAAAGGTATTGTGTCCAACTACAACTAAAAAATAAATATTTAAAAAATAACATTTCTTCAAAGATCTAGCAAATCTAATCGTAGGTGTATATGCCAGAAAAATAAGTGCACATTTTCACTAAAAGACATAAGTTGGGCTGGGGATGTGGCTCAAGCGGTAGCGTGCTCGCCTGGCATGCATGCGGCCTGGGTTCGATCCTCAGCACCACATACAAACAAAGATGTTGTGTCCGCCAAAAAATTAAAAAATTAAATATTAAAAAATTCTCTCTCTCTCTCTTTAAAAAAAAGACATAAGTTATAAGCAGCTTTGTTCATAGTTGTCCAAAAACTGTAAAACAAACAAGGTAATAAGGTCATATTGAGGAATATTACACACCAATAATAAGGAAACAGCAACAAGGATAAAGCTCAAAGACATGTTGAATGAAAGAAGTCAGACAGAATGCTATTCCATGCACATGAAATCCAAGAACAGATAAAGCTAACCAATGGAAATAAAGTCAGGGGCTGGGGTTGTCACTTAGTGGTATAGCACTGCCTAGCATGTGTGAGGCACTAGGTTTGATTCTCAGCACCACATATACATTTAAAAAAAAAATCGGGGTTGGTCACTTGGGGAGAAGAGTGACCTGGAAGGTGCATGGCAAAACCTGAAGGGGCATGGCAAAACCTAACGGGACATGGAGAATGTTCTGAAACTTCGCCTGGATCATGTTTACACAAGTGTAGACATAATGTAAAAATTCATTGAGCTGCACAGTTATACAGAGCAGGCACTTTACTCCATGCACATTATACCTCAGTGAGAAAACACAAAAAATGAAAATAAAAATGCAGCTGGTCAATACTAACTGGAGAGCATCTGGCCTCGTGCCCTATTCCAGGCTACCTCCTAATCCACTCTCTGCACAGATGTCCTAGTGGCCGGAACTGCTGGCAGCCCTATGGCTAACTTAGGGCACCATATCTTCACATGCTTTAACACCACATTTTACACATGAGAAAAGAGGCTTAGGGAGGTGAGGTGACTCACATATCCAAAGACATATAGCTGTCCTGAACACAGGCTGCTGAACCCAGAGTCTTAATTTCTCAGCCCCACCCAATGCCTTGCTGCACAAGGAACCCACACGCCTGCTGACTGAATGGATGATAATAGCAACCAGACTCTCACCTCCTTGGCTTCATTCTGTGCTTTCATATTTTCGGCAATATATTTGACACTTTGAATTGCTTCTTTGATTTCTGGTGACAGGGCAGAGAGGGACAACACAGCATCAACAGATTCAGAACTGGAGCTTCTAGTGAGGTTTGCGCTGAAATTTGAGATTTTGATCCTGCGGTGGTGGCAGTAGCCACACATCCCATCTTGGCAGGGGTAGCCTTCCTTGCACCCTTTGGATTCTGTGCGGCTGAAACAATTCAGATTTGAGAGCTCAGCACTGTAGAAGGGCCTTGGCTTCTGAGTATTTTCTTCATTGCTGGCCGGCCTGGTCATGAACATGACCCTAGGGAGCAAGTTCAAGAATACTGTCTTCACCCAGGTGGGCATTGTGTGTGTGGTTGGGGTTCTGTAGTGCACGTTGAGCACGAAGACTGTGATGACGATGGACAAGGTGACGAAAATCATGGTGAACAGGAGGTACTCCCCGATCAAGGGGATGACCAGGGAGGTGGATGGGATGGTCTCAGTGATCACCAGTAGAAACACGGTCAAGGAGAGAAGGACAGAGATGCAGAGTGTCACCTTCTCTCCGCAGTCGGAGGGCAGGTAGAAGACGAGCACAGTGAGGAAGGAAATGAGGAGGCAGGGGATGATGAGGTTGATGGTGTAGAACAAGGGCAGGCGCCGGATGTACAGAGAATATGTGATGTCCTGGTAGATCTCCTCGCAGCAGTTGTACTTGATGTCATGTTTGTAACCTGGGGCTTTGATGATGGCCCACTCACCACTCTCCCAGTAGTCCTTGAGGTTCATGGAAGAGCCAATCAAGACCAGGTCGATTTTCGCCTTATCGTAGGACCAGGAACCGAACTTCATGGTGCAGTTTTGGTAATCAAATGGGAAGTAGGTCACATCGATTTTGCACGAGCTCTTGAAGATGGCTGGAGGTATCCAAGTCACTTCACCTGTGTGCTTGAGTAAAGCTTTGGTCTTGTCATCCACCTGGAAATCCCCAACAGCACTGCAAAGGAAAAGAGGAGCATGGTGACATGGTCACTACCCCAGGGTCATCCAGCCCAGCTTTTCATGCTGCCAGCAGGTAAATGGCAAGTAGTGGTTTGTAAAACTGGAATGTGAGAGCTAAAAGTGCCATGAGAGGTCACCTAGTTCACTGTCCCATTTACTGGTGGATAAAATGAGTCCCAGACCTCCTCCCAACACACAGTCTGTCATATTCCTTGACCCTTGGGCACATCACCAGTTCATTACACAACATAAAATTCCCAACCTGATGGTTACAGAGACCCCCAAATGCCAGAAAGACCTCCCCATCCCTGCTTAATTTTAAAAAATGGGATGAAAGTCATTGACCTGGAGGCAGGTGTTCAAGTAGTATATATTTGCTATCTGTTGTCCCTGTGGTCTGGATCTTGTTAGAATCTTGTTCATTCTCCACTGGGCGCCTAATGTGTGTGTGTAACCAGATGGTAGGCTGAAAAGGGTTGCACAGACGCCGTAGAAGCCCATACCCATTAAACTGAACCTTTATAGATGATTTTATTTCCAGAACCTACCTGCAGATCCTGATCCTACTATTCACCACACTGCCCATTCCTCCCAACATTATTCCACAGTAGATGATCGTGTCTTCTGATTCCTTGTCTTTCATATTCAGCATAACAGAGTCCTTTGCCTTCTCTTTCCCTGTCTGCCCCCACTTACTCTCCATGTTTTTCTTCCTTTCTTTAAGCTACGTGCACATACACACACACACACACACACACACACACACACATACTTTTTGTTTTTGCACATAGATACACATTCTTTCTTACAGTCATCTTGTTATAATCTGATTTCTTCAGCAGGAGATCTGATGATAGGCTCAATACCCTGTAGCATTCCATTGCAACAGCCAGATGATGTCATCTGACAGTAAGGCTGGATGATCCTCACAATGTCCCTGCCCATGAAGGCTCTTACATTTCCTTAGATCAGTCCTTTTCTATTTCTTAGCATTCCAGCATTTGAAGGTGTTTCTATCTTTCACATCCTTTTACCTGGTACATGAAGAGCTGCAAGACAATTATAGAATCGAAATATTCAGGGATGTCCTTGTGTGACTGTATTGGAGAGGAACCTGTGAAAACTAAATGGGAACATTCCAGTGCACATCTTTCCTCCCTGCTAGTCTCTGGGCCTCCCACCCTCACATCCCTTGTTTGAGAAGACAATCATTGCACTGAAGACTCAATGCCAAAGCCCTGCCCACCTTCACTCCAGCTGGCTGGTTTGCCCTGGTTTATATGTTCTTAGCTTCCCTTCCCTCTTCCAGTTCCTGGCTCCAGGCAGAAGGGAGAGGGTTGGGCAGTGGGGTGGGGTGCCATGGGTGCTAACATGGGCTAAGTTCTAATGGACTTAGCCCATGTTAGCACCCATGGCACCCTGAGCTGGGCTAAGCAGAAGGGTAGAAAGACCCACAGAAAGACAGGCCTCCTGGATCCCTAAAATGTCAGGGAAATAAGGGATCTGTGTAGAGGGTCTAGTTCAGAGGTTGGCAAATTCTGGCCCACAGGCCTGTCACCTATTTCCACAAATACATTCTGTTGGGACAAAGCTACTTCTGTTTGTTTTTTAATGTCTACAGCCATTTTGAGCTATAAGGCAAAGTTGAATAGCTGTGACAGAAGCTCCATGACCCACAAAATCTAAAATATTTTACTCTTTGTACTTCACAGAGTTGACCCACCCCAGCTGTAATCTAATCCTTTCATTTTACTGAAGAGGAAACTGAGGATCAGAGGACAAGAATGATTTGCTCAAAGTCCATAGAGTTTGTGGACAGAGCCTTGGCCATTCAGAACTCTGGTTCTTAATCAAGGACTCATCAAAGTATGTGTGTCCAAAGAACAAACACCAGAGATATGTTTGCCCTGGTTGCTAGTACTCATTTTTGCTCATTTCTGGGGATCTTGGCCATAGTTACTGCCTAAAGATGCCCCTGGCTGTGTGTGTACTCTGGTCAGAAGGCCTGTTTGCTGCTTGGGGTATATCAACTGTCACATCTATACCACTGAGAGAGAAGACAAGGACTGGGGTCTCTAATAGCACCAGCTAAACAGAGAGCACCTGGTAAATATCTGTTGACTGAATGAATGACCAAAAAAATAAATGAAGATCTTACCCCTGGCAGAGTTCAAGAGTGAGATGGCTGGCAGCAAGAGACAGCAGAAGCAGGAGGATCTGAGCTGACTTAACTGTCAAACCATGTGAGTTAGTTGAAAAAATAGAAGGCATTGTAGTAAACGATGAGCTGAGGTGTTCCTTCAATATAAGGGAAGATTAAGGAGGTAAGTGGGCCAGGGTAGGAGAAAAACCAAGATGGCGGAGGTTTTTACAATCTCCAAATTCCCTAAGAAACCTGGACAATTAGGATGGCAAAGGAACAAACCTGTGGATCACACTGTCAGCAGACAGGTTTAAGGGCAACCCTCGAACCTGAGAATATGAGGGTAGGGGTCAGACTATTATGTGACCCAGGGGGTCCATGTGGGACTAGCTGCTGGGAGGAAGTACCTGAGAGAAGAGAAAAGAAATCTCCAAGAAGTGTCTGACTCCACAAAGAAAAGGACCTACTCTGTGTTGAACCCTCAGCAAGGGGACAGTAAAACAGAGGGTAAGAACAATTTATGGTTCCATAGGTTCAAATTTGTGGTAAGAACAACAACAAAGACCATGGGAATTCACTTAGGGTCTGAAGAGAAGCTGGGGCTGGCAGGGCTTCAGAGAATCTCAGAAATAAGCCCCTCAATTCAGAGGCCCACTCAGAGGAAAAGTCGGATCCAAAGTGAACAGGGGAGAAAGTGGCATGTGGTGGTAGAAGGTAAAAGTGCTGGCAGACCCTGGAAGTGGCTAACCTGAGTGCAGATTTTCTCACTTCAAGGTAACTGTTTAAGGAAGACATAGGCCAAACAGCCACAAAGCAGATGCAACTGACAGTAGCGTGAGTTCAATCGCCAGCACCACACACACACAAAATTGTTTAAATCAAATTTAAGAGCATAATAGAGAAGGAACATAGGCAGAGAAATTCATATATATATATATATATACATACATATATATATATACACATATGTATATATGTATATATGTGTATAGAGAGAGCACGTGCACGTGTGCTCATGAACATGAGCATGTGCATACACATGTGCATATGTGTTCCAGCAGAGGAAACCAAATCAATGGAATAGAACAAATCTTTAAAACTAATGTAAAAAATCTTCCTGGGAGGGGCTGGGGCTGCAGCTCAGTGGCAGATACTTGCCTAGAATGTGTGAGGCACTGGGGTTGATAAATAAAGGCATGTCCATCTACAACTATAAAAAAATTTAAAAAAAAAAACTTCCCTAGAAGCTGGGGATGTGGCTCAAGTGGTAGCGCGCTCTAAAATTCTCTCTCTCTCTCTCTCTTTAAAAAACAAAACAAAACAAAACAAAACTTCCCTGGAAAAAAGGGACTTTTTATGTATGTGCTACATAGTAAACTGGGCTTTTTTTTTTTTTTTTTTTGGTACAGGTGAATCCAGGGGTGCTCTACTACTGAGCTATACCCCCAGCCCTTTTTATATTTTATTTTGAAACAGAGATCCTGTCTAAGTTGCCCAAGCTGGTCTCAAACTTACAATCCTCCTACCTCAGCCTCCTGATTAGCTGGGATTTCAGGTGTGCACCACCATGCCCAACAAGTAGACTTTAAGGACAAAGTAGAGGCATATCCCCATAGCCCTAGGCAGACTCAAGAGCATCACTTGAGCTCATAAGTTTGAGACCAGTTAGGGCAACAAAGAAAGACCCCATCTCAAACTAAAAATAAAGACAAAGGAAGAAATCCTGTGGGTCGCCAATAAAAAGGCCGACTACTTATAAATGACTATCAATTGAATTTGCCCATTTACTCAGGACAGCCTGGCTTACATGTGTGGTCCTGTCATGTTTATTTATAATGCCCTGTTCCTCTCTCAAAAGTCACCTTATTTAACAAGGAAAAGAAAATTAGATTGACATGGATTTTGACAACAACACTTCTTACCAAAAGACAACGAGGTAAAATTTATAAGGTTTTCATTACAGGGAAATAGAAGCCAAGGATTTTCTATCCAGCCAAGCAACCTAAAAGTATTCTCTAAAAAATATTCTCTTATGAACTTGCAAGAACTAAGGGCATGTTGTATCTATGAGCATTTTGAGGATTCTATTAGAGAATGAACTTTAGAATAAACAAAACATCATAGGAGAAATTCTGATATAAGAAAAAAATGATGTTTCTATTGTGTTAAAAGGAAGAGAAACCCTCAACAGAGGGTCAATTTGAGAAATGTAAGTTCTAAGTAAAAGGTTGAATTGGATGATTTTTCACAATTTTCAGCTGCAGATTCCAAGGAAATTCCTTATGATATATTTAAATTGAAGTGTTTGGCCACATCTCTCATTACTGTTAAAATCATTCATCCTACAGTATTGCAGCTGTTCACCCTAAATTGCCAGCAAAGAAACAGCCATAAAACCCAAAATGTAAATCTAATATTTTTGCTTGTGTTCTCAGTTCCTGCTTAGTAAGAATTCTCTATACTCTGCCCAGTTCCCTAAGAGCCTCTGGACCATGAGATTTCTATGTCAGCTTGCAGTGGAAGGAAATACTTCTGCAAACCAGCTGAGTGCATCTTATGTCTCAGTTCTTTAAGGACAGGCTTACAAATACAAGTTGCATGAAAGGAATATTTGTAAAATTATGTCTTAAAAGGTTAAAGACATCCTTTTTGTTTCTGCTGGGGACCAGAAGATGGGATATATATATATAAGCAGCTTCCCCAGTCCTGATGCTAATTGTAATACCAAGAGTACTGCTACTAGTAGTAAAAACATATCAGTGTATACTACTATGAATAAATACCTAAACAAAGAATGCTTTAATTCATTAAAATAAGATTATACTAACTCTATGAAATGTTTTACTAAAAAAATGGTGTTTTGTTTGCCTGATGTTTTTTTTTTGTTGTTGTTTTTTTGGTTTTTTTGGTGCTGGGGTTTGAACTCAGGGCCCTAATAATGTAAGCATCCACTTACTCTCTCACCAAGATACATCTCTCCAGCCCCACCCTTCATGGCTTTAGTGGTTAAAACATTATCACTCTACAGTTGAAACATGGGTGAAAACATTTGTTTTCCAATATCTGGAAAACAAATTAGTATATATGGTAAAATATTGGTTATAATTTGTGTTTGCTTAATAAAAGAGCTTAAATGTGGAAGGGATCAGTTTTGTGTGGGTTTAAGAAGTAGAAATGGGCTTTAGATGCACCGCATGGGCAGAATCAGAGAGGAAAAACTTTTGAAAGGGAAAAAAGGAGGGCTTCCTGAGATAGGAAGATGCGTGCTCTGGGTCCAGAGGAGACTCCACATGTGCCCCTGGGAGGGAATGGCCTTCGAGCAGCTTCCCTGGATGGTAGGAACCACCCACTTCCCTCCAGAGGCCTATACTCATCCTCAGGGGGCTGTGGCCATCCAGTTTGACCAGGGCCTTTGTGGCTGGCAGAGCTCACCACACTTTACACCTGGGAACTTTACTCATCCTGTGTGTGTGGTGAGGGGCACAGATCCATTCCTCAAGGCTCAGACTTTTACCAGTGGGAGGCGGTTTGGAGGGGATATTTGTGCAGTGGATAACTGCCTGCTGGCAGATTTGCTACTGAGGAGAGTGGAGAAAAGGTTTGAGGACAGGCAAAGAATGGGCTGGGAGTGCCCGCCTGAGCCCCAAGATCACAGCATTAGCCTCTTAAAGCATAGAGGACTACCGAGACCACCCTAGGCCTGGCTTTGCCACACAACCACTGAATGAGGTCACCTTCTACTATGGGCCCCATTCTATATCTATGAAATATGGGGGACAGGCTGTATTAGTGATCCCCAAAGCAGACTGGCCCTCACAGCCCCCGGCACAGTTGGTGAAAATACATTCTTGAGTCCATCCTGTACCCAACCCATTCTGTTTCTGTGGGATGGGTACAGAAATTGGGTAATATAACTATACATGTAAACATACCTATGGTTACAGTATAGTGTATTACAAAATATAGTAACCTTAGAAAAGACAGGAACAAAGAAGAAAATATTTTAACTGTAGACACCTGTATTTTAAAAAGTTCCCTAGAAGCTGAACTGCCTGTAAGTGGGGAACCCTGGGAGGACACAACTCAGACTCAGCCAGCTCTGCCTTCTCCTACACCCTCATTCTCTTTCAATGAAGAAAAAGGGAGACATTTGCTTTTATCCCTGTCTGTTTGCACAGAGTTGCTAACAGATGCCACATTCAAGGCCATCCTTGACATACCTCACTCTCTCACTATACACCAGGGCTGTTCCCCTGACCCTTCCAGTTTTATGTCCTACAATACAGCAAGTGAGGGTCCATACTCTCCTGCCTCCCTGTGCTCCCCCCGTTCCAGCTCCTTCTCCAGATGTGAGATGACCTTTGAAATCAATTCAATGCAATCGCTTCCCAGAAGCTTTTTCCTCTATCAGCACATCACCTACTTTGAAGCAACTCAGCACACTGCCACTCTCTTTGGCTCACTGGCATCTCTATTATCTGGTATATAGTAGATGCTCAGCAAATCCTTGAAGAATGAACAGAGCCCTCTTGGAAAAGACCTGAGGAAGGCCTGTCAGTAATCACAGTGGGCCTAGAACACAGAGCTCAGGCTGCCAGTCCCCAGATATGTGGGTCCTTACTTGTTATACAGCACAATGTCTGGCTTCCAGATCTTCTGTGCAGGTACACGCATGAACTCCACCCCATCGTAGTCTGAGGGGTTCCACTTCAGCTTGTAGTCATTCCAGATCTGGGGGGAAGGGGCAGAGAGGAAAGAAGAGACAGCAGAAAGACCAGCCTGACTTATTGCTCTTGATACTATATCTTGGTAACTCCCCACCTCAGCCACAGGTTCCTGAGCCCCCTGCATATTGCAGACCACACAAGCCCAGCTCCTTGTGTGTGTGTGTGTGTGTGTAGCAGGGAAGACAGCCCTGGGCTCAGTCTGTAAGTTGCCTCCTGCTCTAGGAGAACCATGCCTCCATGACTGTGGGTGATCCCAGCCCCTCATCAATCAAATAGGGACCATTAATTGGTGTTTTCTCCAGTCATTCCAATGCCAAGTCCAGCTTCCTGGACTTCTACCACCAGATCTAGGTCCATGCATTAAGTTCCAGCTGCTCTCTTTCAGACAAATCCTTGACCAAGCTCCCATAAAAAAGAAGCTCTCCAACTCTGAAAGTTTCTCTCTCTTTTTTTTTTTTTTGGTGTTGTGGGGGGTTACTGAGGATTGAACTCAGGCACTCAACCACTGAGCCACATCCCTAGCCCTATTTTTTGTATTTTTTTTTATTTTTTGAGAGGAGGGAGAGAGAGAGAGAGAGAGAGAGAGAGAGAGAATTTTTTAAAATATTTATTTTTTTTTAGTTCTCGGCGGACACAACATCTTTGTTGGTATGTGGTGCTGAGGATCGAACCCGGGCTGCACGCATGCCAAGCGAGCGCACTACCGCTTGAGCCACATCCCCAGCCCTTGTATTTTATTTAGAGATAGGTCTCACTGAGTTGTTTAGTGCCTCGACATTGCTGAGACTGGCTTTAAAGTTGCAATCCTCCTGAATCAGCCTCCTAAACTGCTGGGATTACAGGTGTGCAGCACTGTGCCCAGCTTGAAAGGTTCTTGAGGAGAGAGCCATGATCATATTGAGTCTAGGAAGGGATGGGAGCAGAGCACTAGATGAGAGAGGACATGTTATGGCTGCAGAGGGAATATGTCCTGGAGTGTAGGGTGGGGACACTGTGTCTACTGTCAGCCTCTTGTGGATGAAGGCTGTGTGAGCAAGATGCTCAGCTGGCTGAGCTGGCAGAAGGGTCACCATCAGGCCAATGGACAATTATGTCTCTCAGCAGGTCTTAAGCAAAGCTTCCCTGGGGAAGCTATGAGGAAGCCAATTCTATTGCCTCAATCGGAACAAGAAAATACAGAGACCCTACTCCTATTCTATTAGTGATGCAAGAGAATCTGATTCTGACTTAAGGATGAGTTTTGACAAAGAGGAAAGGAAGGAGATGGTCTTATGCTACCAAGAATTGGGGGCCAGGTCCATCTCATTTGGTAGTGCGACTCTGGAGAGGTCTCTCTCTCTAAGCTGCAGACTATCCATCTGTGACTCAAGGGGCAAGGCCCTGTTGTCCTTCCAGGTGGACTTCAGAATAGTGCATGTGCATGTGATCCAGAAGTGAAGTCCAGTCTGTGGGGTCCTTTTTGGTCCACGGACAGCAATTAAAGCAGTTACCACCAGGGGGCAGCAGTGCACTAAGCCTGGTCACTTACTTGCTTGAGCCACAGGTTGGTCTCCATGATCTGGTTTACTTCATCCTTGAAAAGGAGATTAAAGTAGACATCAATGACAAAAACAAGGCTCCTTCTGGGAAAAGCTCCTCCAGAAGCCCTGTACCCCGTGGCCACAGATTGTGGCTCCAGCACTCACCACCTTCACCAACTGAGACATGGACACTTCAAACTGGATGACGACTGGGTCAGACACATTGGCCACAGGCCGGATGATCTCGTTGTAATCTTCAAACAGGCGCTCAAACAGGCGATGCTCGGCCTCTGAACTACTGGCCACTAAGGGAAACAGCCCTGTCAGTCCCTGGGGAAATTACTTCTTATTTCTCCCACGAGGGATATCACCCACTGATAACCTCTGGGGTACTCTAGACTTCCATTGCTTCCTCCAATGACAGACTGGGAAACTGAAGCCCAAGAGAGACAGGGGTTCCACCATGTCACACAATTCGGTGGTAATAAGCCTGGGCTCTGACGTTGGACAAATCTGGTGCAAATCTTAACAAACCACTGTGAGCTGTGTGAGCTTAGCCTAGTAGCTTAACCTCTTTGAGCCTCGGTTTCTTTATGTGTCAAAATAAAGATTATAAATGTATTCACATCAAAGGATTGTGAGGAGTGACGTGCTTAGTGGCATGTGGTAAAAGCTCAAGAGCTATAAATTATCCTTACTTTTATTGTTACTACAGGGCAGGCATGTGGTGCAAATGCTCCTGGAAAGATTCCCTGTCCAACCCTAGGGGCAGGGAGGCTGGGGGTCACCCAGGCTCAGGTGTCCTGCTTCTAAGCCTAGGAGACTGCATCCCAGATCTGGGAATCCCCCTTGTCCCACTCAGGATCGTGTAGAGATTTGGCCACAGCCTTCTTGGAAGCCGAGGCATCCACCTGTCTCTCATGATCTCAGAGTGGGACCCCCGGTTCCTGCCCATGCTGTCTTCATATCCTGCTAGAAGTCCCTTATTTCTCCGAAGCCCTGAGCAATTCCTTTTGTTCATAAGCCACACCCCAGCATAGTTGAGGCATCTTGGGTCAGCTGCAGCCCACTTATAGATCTGGGGGCAAACTGGGGAGGAGGGAAGGGAATCTGACCCAAATTTTTTAGTCCCTGAAATGGGATTTTGCCTGATCCTCCGGACACCTCAACAAAGGAGGTGCCCCAGGCAGGAGCTCCGTTGAGCGCGTAAGGCGCTCTGAGTAGTGGAGACTTCCGCAACGAGGGTCAGAAACAGCCCTATGCAGCACAGCCACAAGGCTCCAAGAACCTACGGGCTGGACCCCAAGGGACGTCTTGCAGCCTTGCAGAGTCCCAGCCAACCCAGGCCTCCCTGGGGAGTCAGGGTCGGCTTCGTCCCAACAGGCTCCTCTAGAGCCTTGGCAGCCGGCGGGGAAGCGCGCTCCCCGGTTGAGGGTCGAGGTGACGCGACCAGGACCACGGACTAGAGGCTGGCGTGCCAGATCCGGCCCCGGTCCCGAAACGACTCTCGCCTCCCCGAGGTGGCCTTGGAGAAGTCCGTATTCCTCTCTGGCCACCGTTTCCCAACTAGTGGTAAAAAGAGGCAATGGACGGGATCAGATGCTGGAACCGGAGCCGAAAACGAAGAAGGCATCCCGCGTCCCTGAGTGGCCTGCGGGTCCCCGGCTAGGGCGTCCCCACCCTGGGTACCGGCCCCTCCAAAGAAGGGCTCCTAGGGCCGCCTTCCCTCGGCACCCCGCACGCCGCGCCCGTACCTGGCAGCAGCAGTAGCAGCAGCAGCAGCTGCGGTGGCGGCGAGAGCCGGCGGGTGCCCATGGCGCGTCGGCTCGGCCCCGCTCTCCGGGACCGCGCGGACGGGGCGGGCGGACGCGAATAGTCAGGAGCAGGTGCGGCCGACTTGGACGCTGAGGTCTTTCCGCGCAGCTCCGAGTGCAGACGGCGGACTCAGAGCCGTGCGGCCGCGGGGACGCACGAGCCTCTTCCCTCTGGGCGGCCTTGGGGCTCCGGAGTGAGCGAATCACCCGGAGAGAAGCGTCGCGAGCCCCACGCGGGGCGGGGCGAATGCAGGAGGTGGGCTCGCGCGGATGGGGAGAGGGCTCCGGGTCCCCAGTCCCTGAGTCCTGCGGCCTCCTCCCGGGCCCTGGGCAACCCTACGGACCGCTCGACGCCCTACCAGATAGAAGCAGGCACTGTCAGCCTCCAGGGAGGAGAGGGGCCAATCCCTGTCCCTGGCTTCCGGGGCGTGTGCAGCTACTGCAAGGGACTGGGGACCGCTAGGCTAGAAGGTTGTCTCTATAAAGAACGTCCAGCTCACCCTCAAAACGAGCCTCCCGTATTTGATGTTCTTAAGTAATTGTTAAATATTTTATGCGTACGTGTGTGTGTGTGTGTGTGTAGTTTAGGAGGGGGATGGGTAGGTTGGAATCAGTTAAAACAATATTGGCGATGAGTTGTGGATGATGGAATCTGGAATCTGGTTATACTGTTCTCTCTACTTTAGAACATGTTTGAAATGTTCCTTAATTTAAAAAAAAAAGTATAACAAAAAGAAAAGAAATTAAAAAATGAGGTTTGGAGCCATCCACGAGGGCCCCTGGCTTCCCACTCTTCCCAATCTGTAGATTTCCCTCTTCTCTTACTACCATTTGCAGTCCTGGGTGTCCCATGGATGCACAGTGACCAGGCAGATGCCCTGGGGTCCCTTGGTCTCTCTGGCCACCCACCAGGCATGATAGGGCACCTGAAGTCTTTCCTGATGTAAACAGAGGAGGAAGGTTAACCTTCCTTGCCGGTTCTCTTTTCCTGCTTCAGCAAATGGTGAGTCACCTTTATTTCTTCTGGAAAGGGCTGTTATCCACATTTAAAGCAAACAAAAGGAGACAATTTGTGGGATCCAGAAAATGTTTGGAAGACTTGAGGTCCACCTCTCAGGCCCCATTCTCATTCTGCTAGCAATAGGATCTTCATTTGGAAAATATGGCAAAATCACATATTCAACATTAAACAGTAATAGGTGGGTATGAGGGATCTTCTTGGGAATAACAGAGATGTTCTAAAACTGGATTATGGTGATAAATGTACTAAAATTCATTAAATTGTACACTATAAAATGGGTGAATTTATGGTATGTTAAATTATGCCTCAATAAAGTTATTTTTAAATTCAGCAGTAAGAACACTACAACCCAATTTTAAAAATTAGCAAAGGCAGTAAACATTCACAAAAGAGGATATACAGAAGGCAAAAAAGCACATAAAATGATGTTCAACTCCACTCGCCATTAGAGAAATACAGATTAAAACCAGGATGATATATCTGCTAGGATGGCTAAAAGAAAAACAAATGCTTTCAATACCAAGGCAGAAAAGGATACAGAACAACTGCCTTGCTCACACTTTGCTGGTGAGATTGTGAAATAGTACAGCTACTCCAGAGAACCACTTGACAGTTTCTTTTAATGTTGAAATATATACTTAACCACATAATCCAGCAATTACACTGCTGAGTTTTTATCTGGAGAAATGAAAACTTTTGTTCACACCCATCCTACATGTGATGTATGTGACAGCTCTATTCATAATTGCCCCAAATTGGAAACAGCCTCAATGTGCTTCAACATCCATAGGATAAAGTACTGCTTGGCATATAAAGGGACACATGACTGATACACTCAGCAACCTGAATGAATCTCAAAGGTATTATGCTAACCAAAGAAAACAATCTCCAGAGGCTACATACTGTATGATTCCAGTTAAATAGCATTCTCAAAGTCACTGAACAATAGTTATAGAAAGAAGATAAGTGGTTCCCTGGGGTTGGAAGTGGAGGAGCTGAGGCTATAAGGAAATGGTAAGGGAAGTTCTTTTGGGTGACAGATCTTTCCTGTGTCCTGATAGTAGTGGTGGTTACACAGATCTATACCTGTTATAATTTGTAGAATTTTTAAAAGATACTTATTTTTTAGTTGTAGGTGGACACTATATCTTTATTTCATTTTTATGCGGTGCTGAGGATCAAACCCAGTGCCTCATGCTTGCTAGCAAGCACTCTACCACTGAGCCACAACTCCAGCCCATAATTCATAGATTATATATTTAAAATGTCTTTTTATTGTATAGTAATTTAAAAAATGGAATTTTTAAGTGTTCTCCATTGCACACATATTCTGAACGTCTACAACTTGCCAGGCACTGTGGGAAAGACAGTATGCTGGGTGGTGGGAGGGGGATCCATCAGCATGTGAGGGATACAGACCCAAACCAGCCATGATATGAAAGTAGAAAGTGGCCAGAGAGCCATGAAGTCCTGGACAAGGGGGCCATTCCTTTCAGGGATGGGGACCAAGGACAGCTGCTTGAAGGAGGAGCAGGAGCCATTCATTCATTCAACAAACATTTATTTCACACCTGCTGTGTGCCAAGCTCAGTCTCAGACCTGGAGCAAACCCTGCTCTCATGGAGCCCACACTGGTGGTGAGATGTGGACGGTAAACGTGCTGCCAAATAACTGCACGTACTGGGGGGGCTCGAGGATGGCGATAGGGTAACGTGGTCACTGGGGAGGGTGCTTTGAAATGGGAACAGTCTTTAGATGATATCGGAGCAGAGGATCATGGTAGCAGAGCCCTGATTGATGACACCATGGGAAGAGCTTGGGAAGCACAGGGGTGGGGAAGAAGGTTCAGTAGATGCAAAGGCTCTGAGCTGGGAAGGATCTAGAAGCATGTGGGAGACTGAAAGAAGGCTAGTGAGCCTAGAGGTCAAGAGAGGATGGAGACAGCTGGGGGTGGAGAGATAGGCTGGGATGTGGGCGAGATGCCTGGCACATAGTAGGTGCTGTTAGTATACCTGGTGCAGGGAAGGAAGATAGGCTGGAATTAAACTGTCTGAAGCCCCCTCCTGTTGGGCTTCCTCGGAGGCATTCAGAAGGGACAGCGCAGGACCCCATCCTTGCCCTCTGGCAGCTGTGGCTGCTTTGATGGATTGTTAGCTGATGGTCAGATGTTTATTTAGGGCCTCATCAGCTGTGACCCAGAAGGAAGCAGTGAACTGTCCATCTGGCTGCTCACATCATCTCACCCCACAGCCCAGGGTGCTCTTGGACATGTTGGGCAGTCTAGGGCACCTCAGAAGGTGGGTGGGTCAGGAAGAGGGGAGGGAGGAAGAGCCCCACAGTGCCCAGGACGCATACAAACACGAATACCCACAGGAACAGCCGGTCGACCACCATGGCCACATATTTCCAGTCCTCAATGACCTGTAGATAGATAGAAGGGTTGGTTACAGGTGCAGAAAAACTGAGCTCCCTCCTTCCTCTAAGTCAGGTCCTCACCATCTGGTCAGAGATCCCAATGGTCACAATGTGGGCTTGGAACCACATAATGGTATGGCAAGTCCTGAGTCCCAGGCTGGCCTCAACTGAGCAACTCTGTCACTCTCGGCGTCCTCCAACCCCACCTGACCTGCCCACTAAGCATTGTAGAGCCACCAGGAACTTGGAGAGGACAGGAAAGTTAGGAATGTAAGGTGTCATTAATACTGTCATCCCTCAGTATCCTCAGAGGATTGGCTATAAGATTCCCCATGGACACCCAAATCAGAGGATGCTTGAGCCCTTTATGTGAAACAGCATAGATTTTGCACATAGCCTATACACATCCTCCTGCAGACTTGCAGACTGTCATCTCTAGATTGCTTACGGTACCAAATATACTATAAATGCTTTGCAAATAATTGTATTTTTTTTTTAGGGAATGGTGACAAGAAAATTAAGTCCATAAAAATACAATTTTTTTTGGAATGTTTTGACCCATGGTTGAATCCATGGGTAGGTTTGGGGGGAAAGCTGTATCACATATTGTAATTTGAAGATCAAATCTGGTTATAAATAAAGGGGGATGAGGCCTGAGGATCATGAAATTCCTTTCTCTCATTTTCACCCCAAATCCTCTGCCTGAGCCAGCTCTGCATAAAGAAGATTTGGGGCCCACCTACTTTAGTGGGGGCAGGGCAGTGGGCGCTTACAGAACACCTGGAAATCCTGCTGGTTAATTCGTTCAATTCCGTTCACAGCAGTGTCTGCTATTTCCTCTAATTAAGACTCAGCCTCCTCCTGCCTCATCATCTGGCTAGCTCTCTTGGGCTCACTCTGACTTGCTCTCTTGCTTTCCCTGTCTCTAATCATCTCAGACCCACCTATGAGGTGTGACATTGATAGAAACCTGGCTGGCCTCCAGAGGTGCCACCACAGAGGTGCCTGCTTCCTTGGCACAGGGGGAGATGCCCGGCATCCTGTTGTCCCTCCCCCATCCCCTGCCCTGGAAGAGCTCAGCAGAGGCTCTGGAGCTGGAAATACAGGCAGGCAGCAGCGGGCAAGCTGACGTCAGTGACCCAATTTGTTAGGGCCCCATCAATGGTGTGTGTCTACCCCTAGGATAATCCTGTGCCAAAGCAGCCCTCACTCCCTCAACCAAACACACTGGCACCTGTCCCTAAGACGCAACAGGCACAGCACAGCTCTCCAACAGCGTGCTCCTTTGCATTCTTGGGTTTCTTTTGGATAACCCTGATTTCAAACAGCTTTTGTATGTGTGTGTGATTTCCCTCCCTCTTTTTATATTTTTTTGTGCTATTTATAGTGACCAGTTAATCACCAGGGAAGGAGAAAATGCTGAAGATGAGACACTCTGCCCGGGCTAACTCAGGGATGGGCATGCCCTGGAACACAGACCCTGCCCCACTTGCACAAGAGAAAGTCAGTCAAGCAACAAGTCCACCATGTGTTCGGTGCAGGGCAAGGCACTGGGAGGGCATGGCAGAGAGATCTGGGTATTGATCCCAGCTCTGCTCTGTGCCAGCTGTGTGACCCAGGACAAGTTAAGAATGTCCCTGAGCCTCACTAGCCCCATTGTAAACTGGGGGTTCTAGTAAAAGCCACTTTGGGGATTCTTGGGAGGGGTGGAAGTAATTTATGTCGCCTCCTGGCAGAGCTCCTGATGTATATATGGAGCTTAATGAACACTGGTGATTGTGACAGCAGTGGGTCCTGCCTGGCTCCTCCCTCTAGGGGCTTGAAATTAACGGGGGCTAGAAACAGTAGGAGGCCTGTGAGTGCCAATGGTGTGAGAGGCCTTTAGAAGGGAGAGTGGAGAATAGATGTCAGTTCAGCCAGCTGTGCAGGAGGCCAGGGCTCCTCAACCTCCAATGTGTACTAGAACCACCAGGGATCTGGTTAAAACTGCAGGCCCTGGGTTCTTCTCCCAGGGACCATGGCTCAGTCAGAATGAGTTGCTTCAACTCTGTGGTCTGAAAAACTGCCCAGGTGGTTCTCATTTAGCCAGCAGGGCCCCAGGCGGCAATTAAGGTTTGGGAGGCAATGCATTAGGTGATGGTGAACTCCTGAATGATTTTTTTTTAAACATTTTTTTTAGTTATACATGGGCACAATATCTTTATTTTTGTTTATTTATTTTTATGTGGTGCTGAGGATGGAACCCAGGATCTCACATGTGAGAGGTGAGTGCTCTATTGCCGAGCCACAACCCCAGCCCCTCTCCCTGAATGATTTTAAATTAAAGAATAGCATGATCCAATCAGTTTTTTAGAAGGCAAAATCCTGTAGAGCTGTGCTTCTCAAATTGAAATATGCCTAGAAAGTTCCTGGGATCTGGTGAAAATGCAGATTCAGGGAGGGAGGCCTGGGAGAGTCCGCATTTCTCAGCATGTTGCTGCTGCTGGTTCAAGGACTGCACTCTGAGTAGCTGGGGTGCATAAGAATATCTCATGTCCTATATATGTTTCATTTGTTAGCAGTTCTCTTCTTTCCTTTGCACAGTGTGATTCTGAAGCTTTTCGGGGCCTGCACTTGTCAGTCTGTGCTAACTAATGGAATACCAGGGCTCTCCCTTGAGAATGCAGCTACTGAAAAGGGATTGCAGAAAGACAAGTACAAGGAGATGCCCTCTTTTACCCACGCAGCTGCAAAGTGGGAGACATCACATAAAAATCCGCACAAAGAATCTCATCTGTGTTGAAATGAGAACATTCACGGAACTTGTTCTGCCTGGTGCATGTGAACATTTCTAACCATTACTGTCTCCTCCTGTGTTCAGTTATTATCAAGTCCCCCTTAGATGTGTTACTTGCTCAAAGGAGTCACTGGAGACACCCAAGCTCTAACACTCATTGCTTTGTTCTGTGAAAGTGAACTCACCCTCATTTCAGAAAGTCTATAATTCTAGCCACCCCACTTCATCATTTATTAGGCTGGTAGCAGCTTTTAATTGATGTTTCCAAACTCCTGGAAGATACAAGTGCTAGTATGGAATCTTCACAAGTCTGCAGACAAGAACAGATGCCCCTGGTACCCCAGCCCACTTGTGCTCCCTAATGGCTGCAGAGTCATTCCCAGCCCACTTCAGGTGCCTGCATCTCCTCCTTTCTCTGTCTAGGGCCTTCTCCTGCACCAGAGGTGCTTGCTCTGGCAAGCTGATGTAACTGGGGAGAGCAGGGAAGCTATTGTCCTGGAGTCACTGACAACCCACAGGGGATGGGAGCCCCCCTCTAGGACATCATTCTGAGGCTAGTTCCTGAGAGGGTCTCAGTCAGGACTGTGGGCACCCACAGCAGGATGCCGCTCATTAATATCCTACAGCGGTTTCCTCCTTCTCCTGCTTCCTCACTGTGCTCTCTGGGATCACCTGTCACATAAACTACCTGCGCTCAAACCCATCTCAAGATCTGCTTTTGAGGAACCCAAAAACAAACACAGAAAGATCATTGCTCCTTCTGTCTTCTTCCCTGTGCACGCAGCTATAATAAAACCCATTTTAGATGTGGATTCCGAGGAATTTGAGAGTCCTTATCTCATACGAATTAACTGCAAAAAAATGGCAGGGAACAGGCATTGTTATCTGAGCCCCTTCTACTGGACATGTGGGCAGGGTTAGGGACTTACACTCTGGTCTTCATCGTCACTCTTCATGTGCTGGGCAATGAAGCTGACACCCTCCAAAGCCTCCTGCACATCCTGCCGGAACCTCCCAGAGGACCTCTGCCTGAAATCTCTGGGGATGCCTGCTGAGTGGGAGCCAGCTGGAGACTTGGGCGCCGCAGGGGCAGGGTTCATAAAGTACATGGAGTTCCCGTAGAGGTTAGAGGGACTGGCAGGGCCCACAGCAGAGGTGGCAGTGGCCTCAGTCTTAGTCAGGTACAACTGGGTGGGCAGGGGGGCCTTGGCCGGGCTGCTGTCAAGGCCAAGTCTCTTCATGAAGAGGAAGGTAGGCAGCTTGTGCAGGAAACAGCGCTTGACCCAGGGCGCCATGGTGTGGGTGCTGGGTGAGCGGTGGTGCACATTGAGCACACACACGGTAGTGACAATGGAGAAGGTGACCAGCACCATGGTGAACATGAGGTACTTGCCGATGAGTGGCACATCAAGGGAGGTGGGTGGCACAATCTTGGAGATGAGCAGCAGGAAGAAGGTGAGCGCCAGGAGTACAGAGATGCACAGTGTCATCTTCTCCCCACAGTCAGACGGCAGGTAGAAGACCAGGATGGCCAGTGACGTGATAAGCACGCAGGGGATGATGAGGTTGATGGTGTAGAAAAGCGGCTTTCGCTTGATGATGAAGTCATAGGTCACGTCCACATAGCTGGGGTCCTGTGGGTTCACTGTCCTTCGCCCTGGGAGGGCCACTATGTCCCACTCACCACTGGGAGTAAAGTCATCTATACTGGCCGTGGGTGACTTAAGGACCATGTCGATTTCCGTGTGGTCGTAGGTCCACGAGCGAAACTTGAGGGTGCAGTTCTGCTGGTCGAAGGGAAAATGCTTCACCTCGATCTTGCAGGCACTCTTGTAGATGGCAGGGGGCAGCCACAGAATGCTGCCATTGGAGCGGACCACCACGTTGGTGTAGACAGACACCTCATAGGTCCCATCAGCACTGGGGCGAGGATAGGGTGTGGAGGAGAACATCATGAAACCCGCAGACAAGGCCAGCCTGTTCTCTGGGCTCCTGGAGGAGCTCTCGGGGATTATTCCCACTAATCACCCAGGCTCAGTAAATGGGGCCTGCTTTTCTTGACATCTGGGGCACCAAGAGAGCCCCACCAGGATAGAGTCTGAAAGCTTCACTCGGAACAGCTCATTTAAGCCCCTCAATAGTCCATTGAGGTGGGCTTTTTTTATTACCCCACTTTATACATGGGAAAACCAGGTCTCAGAGAAGTGACTTCTTTAAGGTCAGAAAGCTAGTAAACAATATAGCTGAGATTTGAACTCAGGTTTGTCTGTCCCTTGATAGAGTCTCCGGCCTTAAACTCCTGGGCTCAAGTGATTCTCTTGCCTCAGCCTCATGAGAAACTGGGACTACTGGTGCATGCCACGGTACCTGGCCAACCTGAGGTATTTACACACTAATTTGGTGCCACCAAAACTCAATGCTGATAAAGCAACTGAGGCTCAAAAAGTCAGAATAGAGACAGGTAGAGTATGGGACTAGGGGTCAGGATGCTGTCCTGGTCCCAGCTGTGCAGAGTGACTCAGACAAGGCCCTTGCCTTGTCTGGGTCTTGCCCTCTCTGGGTCTCCAACTTCCTTCTTAGCTGAGGGCTCTGGCTCTAATCATCTCTATTTTTCTTCCAGTCTGGTGGCCTAGAGGTATGGCTGAAGTACAGATGAAATCTAAGGTTGAACTCAGACCTGGATAACCCCTCAAGGATGGGCCTGCTGCCCTGGCCCAACCCTCACGGGATCTTAGCCCACCCTCTGTCACTCACTTGTTGTACAGCACAATGTCAGGCAACCAGATGCGCTTTGCAGGGATCCTCAGGATATTCACACCCTCGTAGCGGGAGCTGTTCCAGGCCAGGCGGTAATCAGTCCACTCCTGAGCAGACAAGCAAGTCTCCATCACTTGTAGGTCCATCATCACAAAAAGGCAGCCCTAGGGGAAACACCTCCTGGGCTGGGGACCTTGCAGGGCACTTACCTGTTTCAGCCAGACGTTGGTGGTCATGATCTGTTCTCGCTCATTCTGGGGAAGGAAATGGGGCCATCAGTTGATCAGGAAGGAGGAGCCCTCACTAATGGGTTTTTAGCCCTCACTAAAAAGGCTCTGAGCTCCAGGCCTATGTGGCCAACTGCTGTCCCAACATCTCATAAATGGCTCAGAGTTATTTCATACCCAGAACATCAGGGGTAAAGCTCATTATCTTTTCCCAAGCCTTGTTCCCTTTTGGAGTTATTAGTTTAGAGAATGGCACCTCCAGTCATTCATTCCATAAACCAGAAACTTGGAAGTTGTTCTCTGATGCCCTCTTCTTTGATCCATCCATAAGTCCTGTTGATTGCATCTCCTACATGCATCTCAAATTTATCTGCTTCTTTCCATCTCTACTGCTACCATCATCAATCATTTGGACTAATGCAGTCACTTCCTAATAGGTCTTCTGGATCTGCTCTGGCCTGTCTTTAGTCTTTTCTCTGCAGGTTGGTCCCATTAGAATATCAACTTCTTAGACCATGTGTTCTGATCAAACCCTCTTGCTTCCCCAGCTCATCTAAAATAAAAGCCAAAGATGTATGTGTACCAGGTCCTAATGATCTGCCTCTGACTCAGCCCCATTCATAACCTTGTATCTCAATATGGTCCCAGCTGCTCACTCCACTTCAGCTATGCTTGTCTCTTTGCTCCTGCCTTTATATACTCTGTTCCTTTTTTCATGAAAATCTATGCAGTGACTTCCTCACTTTCTTTAGATATTGGAAATGTCAAATGATCAGAGAAGTCCTCCCCAACCTTCCCACATAAAATAGCACCCATGTCCCTCTCCCCTTATCTTACCTTGTTTTTCTTCATAGAACTTATAACCAGGGAACATTATCTTTTTGTGTATTGCTACCACCTCCCACTAGAATCCAAAAGCCTTGAGGAAAGACAAAATCCAGAAGAGCAACTGGTATGTGTCACCTACCTGATAAGTATTTTCTGAATGAATGTATGAATCCTACCATCATAATCCAGGCCACCCTTATTCATCTCTTACCTGGACCACTGCAAGACCCTCCTAGCTGGTCTATGACTACTTTGTACACCATCACCGCACACACTCACACATCTATATTTTCCTTTATAGCCAGAATGAAAATTTCCAAACTTCCTGCCATTTTCCACTCAATCACTTCTGTGGCTTCCCTCACATACAGAATAAAAATCTAATCCCTCTATAGGGTTTACAGGATTTTTCCAACTTCCCCAGCCTCATTCACCTTCCTGTGTTTCTTTAGTCTGTGCTCCAGCTCTGCTTGGCTTCCTTAGTTCTCTGAATGTGTCTTGTGCTCTCAGTTTGCACCATTTTCCTGCCTTCTCTTCATCAAGTTAACTTCCATGTCCTGATTTCAGCTTGGTGATCATTTCTTCAAGGAACCTGCCCTAAACCCTCAACTGGGTAAGCCTATTAATATGACAAAGCTAAACTGCCAGGAACAGAGAACCAGAGAAACATAGGCTTAAATAAAGTAGACATTTATGTCCTTCTCTTGCAATATTTTGGACATAAATGGTGGTTCTGCTCTACAAAATCCTCAGATACTCAGGTTCCTTCCACCTTTCTTTTCTATTACACCAAGAGTGTGACCCCCATCTGCATGGTTTAAGATGTTGGAATATCAAACACAACATCCACATTCTTGGTTATTAGGAGCAGGGAAAAAAGGGATGGATACATGCCCCTGTCTCATTTTGATTAGAGTATTTAGGCCATTTATATTTAATATAGTTACTGATATAGAGATGGCCCCCCCAATTTTTAAAAATATTTATCTTTTAATTATAATTGGACACAATTTCTTTCTTTCTTTCCTTCTTTCTTTCTTTCTTTCTTTCTTTCTTTCTTTATTTATTTATTTATTTATTTATTTATTTATTTTTATGTGTGCTGAGGACTGAACCCAGAGCCTTGCACGTGCTAGGCAAGCACTCTACTACTGAACCACAACCCGACCCAATTTTTTTTCCAGTCCAATTTTAAAAAATATTTTTAGTTATAAATGAACACAATACCTTTATTGATTGATTGATTGATTGATTGATGTGGTACTGAGGTTTGAACCCAACGCCTCACAAATGCTAAATAAGCACTCTACCACTGAACTACCACTCTAGCCTGGCCTCCAACTTTTGATGATTCAACTTGTGATTTCTTTTTTTTACTTTACAATAAGTAAAGGTAGTAAATATCTTTTGACTTACAATAATTGTTACTTACAGTGGGTTTATTGGTACATAACTCCATCTCAGGTTGAGGAGCATCTGTATTTAAGTTTAAACCTATCATCTATTTGTTTTGTGTTTACTCTTTCTGTTGACTTGTTTTGGAATCTTTTATTATTCCATTTCCCCCTACCTTCATGTGACCCTTTCCTTAGTAGTTACCCTAGAGATTATACTATACATATTTGATGTTATAATCTAATATAAATTAGTACTTTTACCACTTCTAGAAAAAAACCTTTCAACTCCATCTACTCACTCCAGACTTTTTGGCTACTCTTCTCATATATTGAATTCTATGTAAGTTAAAACATTGCAAGATGTTTTTATTGTATTATAGCATCAATGTCAACTTAAATTTACCCATCCAGTTACCCTTTTTGTTGTGCTTCATTCTTGCTCAATCTGGGATCATTTTCCTAGTAGCAAAAGAACAACATTTAGCATTTCCTTTAATATTAAATCTTCTGGTGTTAAATTATCTATTTTTTATTTTTAGTCTGAAAATGTCATCATTTCACCTTAATTTTTGAAAGAGTCCTTCAAAATCCTTATCTAATTCTATGGTTTGTAGGTTTTCCCCTGGCTGTAACACTTTCAAAATGCCATTCAATGTTCTGACTTCCATATTGAGTAGTTAATTTTATTGTTGTTCTTATCTTTTTGCTTTGTTTTCTTCTTTCTTTTCCTGGATGCTCTTAAGATTTTCTGTCTTTGGTTGTCAGGAATTTGAATATGATGTATTTGGGTATGGGTTTCATTTTGTTTTGTTGTCTCTCATGGGGTTCATAGAGCCTCTTGAATCTGTGACTTCATATCCTTGTTCAGTTTTGGAAAATTTTCAGTCAATATCACTTCAAATATTGCTTATGTCTTATTATTTATCTCCATTTCTTCTGGGACTCCAAATATACATTAGTCTTGTTTAAAATTATAACTATCTATCTCCTACTTTGTATTTTCATTCATTCTTCTCCTTGGTTTGTATTGATGCTTTCTATTGAGCTGTCTTCCAATTCACTAATTTTCTCTTCTGCTATGACCAATCTGCTATGAAACCCACCCAATGATTTTTTCCCAATGAGTTTCAAATTATAGTCTTTGTATGTTTTTGGCTTTAGAATTTACCTTTCCCCTCTTTTTTATAATAACCAGTTCCTTGGAGAAATTCTCCATCTTCATAATTTTCTTGAGCATATATACCACTGAGCTACACCTTGGGCTCATTTTCTTAGCCTCTTAGCTTTACACTGCTTACCAACCATCAAAGGTGAGGTAAAGCATCACGGACTGTCAGGTTCACCCCCTAGAACCTGGACACTCAAACACATGTATATTTCTTCCTTTGGCATTTATTTTTCTCCGTCTTTTCTAATTGTTCTTCTAGAAAGGCTAATCTGCAACAAGCAATTCTGCCATCACTGAAAGTCAAAAACCTTCATCTGTCTTAAAAACCTCTTTTTTTAAGTTGACATATAATTCACACACAGTGAAATATGCTGATCTTAAATGCACTGTTTGATCAGTTTTAACAAATGGATTACCCATGTAATCCATGTCATTTCTATCATCAAGAAAGTTTTCTTGTGCTTTAGTCCTGCCTCTCACTCCCCTTCACTTCCCCTGAATGTGCCCGAGAACATTGGTTCAGGACCCTAGTCTACCCTGCAAAGAGCTACTTGGACCTGTCTTGCTCAGCACAAACTCCTCACCTTTCCCTAGAACTTTCTGTCTTTAAACTAGTTGTGCCTCCCTCCTCAAAAAAAAAAAAAAAAAAAAGAATAAGTCCTGGAAAAAGAAAGACCCCCCCCAAAAAAAAAACCCATAAATATTTCCTTTATGTACAAGCCTTTGGGAATACAACAGCTCACAGTGGTACCTGAAGGGGCAGGAGCTGGAGGCTGTGTCCCCTCCCCTTACTGGTGGCCTCTATCACTCTACAGGGCCTGCAGAGCAGATCTGGCAGGGGCAGCATGAGCCTGGAAGCTTGATCAGGGCGGCCTGCCTGCTTGCCCTCATCAGAGCAGCAGCTGCATTGCAGTGCCTGGGGCTCACCCTATTAAGCAAAAAGGAGTTGGCTGGACAATAACACTCAGACCTGGCTGTGGGACACGGAGAGGAACAGGGAGTCAAGAGTTCCATCCTGCCCAGTCCTCCCCATCTCCTGACTGTGCTACTTCCTAGGGGATGGGGCCAGATGTTCATTTGGCCCAAGCCTTTTGGGGCACTATAGTTTTGAGAGGCTAGGTTTTTGGTGGCCAATGGTGTTGGAGAGAGATGGTAAGAAGGAGAAGGAATGGATACTGTTGGATAGGCAGAATAACTTCTTACATTCTGTAGCACAGCAGGACAAATATGGTTGACAACAATTAATTGAATATTTGTTTGTTCTTTTCCTTATTCTGTCTGTCTGTCTTACACAACAATTAATTGAATATTTGTTCTTTTCCTTATTCTGTCTGTCTCTCTCTCTCTTTCTCTCCCCACCCCCTGTCTTTGGAAACTGAGCATTGAACCAGGGTCTTGTGCAAACTAGGCAAGTGCTCTACCACTGAGCTACATCCCCAGCCCTGAATATTTCAAAATAATTAATAAAGAATAATTTGATTGTTCCCAACACAAAGGAATGATATATGTCTGAGATGATAAGTCCATTACCTTGATCTGATCATTACACACTGTACACATGTATTAAAATGTCACATTATACTCCATAAATTTGTACAATCACTGAGTCAAATGTATATTAATTACACTTTTGAAAAAAAACAGAAAGAAAAATGATGAAAATCTGGAACCTTGCCCAGAAATCTGAGCAATGCCAGAAACCAAACTCAAGTCCCTTGACTCCCAGCTCTGTGCACTGAATGGCCACTCCTTTCCCTGAGACCTGGCAGGGGCCCTGAAAACACACCCTGCGCTTTCTCCTGAGACTTGAGCCCCAGCTGCCTCTGCACCTACCACGCTGATGAGCTGGGCCAGGGAGAGCTGCAGCTGGATGGAGATGAGCTGCGAGGAACTGGTGGCTGGCCGGATCAGGTTGTTGTAGCGGGTTTTGTTCAGAAGGTCATCCATCAGCTTCTCCTCAGCATTGGCCATGCGACAGTCCCCTGGGAAATGGCATAGTCAGACCCACCGAGCCCTTGTCCAGTCAACCCCCACTTCAGTTAGGGCAGTGAAGGGTAGAGCTGTGAGCCTGGAGAGCAGGGTGCCCTTGGTGCCTACTGATGGTGATAAGGGCACGGCAGGCCTGTCTCTTCTTGGGGACTTCAAACTAAACAGTCAAGCCAGAGCTCACCTCTCTCCTCCCATGCCATACCTCTTTGTCCTCTAGCAATGAATGGCATCCCATGCACCATACATCCAGTCCCAAACCTGGAAATCCTCTCCTCCTTTGGTTTATTCAAGTGGCCGTCTAGGCCAGTCTAGTCTACTTTCCAAGACCCCCAGTCTGTCCTTCCATCTCCCACACACTCCAATAGCCAAGGCCCTAGCTTACCTCCCCTGCTCTGAACTCTTCCAGTAGCCTCCTTGCTGGTCCCACCTGCCTCTGCCATCCATGTGTCCTGTAGTACCAGGGTGATCTTCAGATTGCACACTGGCTCAGGGTTCTTCCTTACCCACAACCTCTCATAACTGAAGGCAGAGTTAAGACCCAAATGTTTCAACTTGGCATTCAAAGCCTTCTGCTCCTAGCACTGACTTATCTTTCTCAACCTCATATCCTCTTGCCTGTTCACCTTGATGCTAGACACTCTATACTCTGGCCATACCTACAGCTTGCTTTCCCCCTTGTGGTCTTCACTGACTCTCTCCTTGTTTTTTGAGCATAATTATTTCTTCTGACAGGATTGCCTCAAGCCCACCAGCTATCCAGGTGTCTAGCCTGTGCCAGGCCCTGTGCTACTGTGCTATGTGCTGGGGATAATGGCAAACAAAACCTATAAACAGACTTGGGAGGCTAGGCAGGAGAATTGCAAGTTTGAGGCCAACCTTGGTGACTTAGTGAGACCCTGTCTCAAAATAAAATTAAAAGGACTAGAGATGTAGCTCAGTCGTAGAGTGCTCACCTAGAATGTGTGAAGCCCTGAGTTTCACATCTTACCACAAAATCAAAACAAAAATACCCAAAACAGATATGGTTCCTGCTCTCAGCACAAAGTACAAGGGAGGAGCATTATGACTCAAATATGGGTTTGCACACAGAACTGGGTGCACAGTAGTGTTTCCCCTAAGAAGAAAAGAAGAGGGATAGCCTGGATTCAGACTTAGATCTACAGAGCACAAAGTCCCTTTGAGACACCAAATGAAGTGTTCCAGTTGGCAGGTGGCTCCTGGCATCAAGCTGAAAGGAGAGGCCTTAGCTCAGAGCCACATCCAGCTCTCAATGCTAGTGTAGCTTCCTGCAGGGAGTCAGAGCTAGCCATTACCCCACTCCCCAGCAAGTCCCCAGGTCTACCCCCAGATCACACCTCAGATCTCTTGCCAAGTGGTATTTCAATCTTTGTTTCATCTCCCTCATGCATCTGGGAATGAATGTGAGTTCAAGGACTTGAGCTTGTACTAGTTGTCCTCAGGGAGGATGTGTCAAGTATGGTGGAGGGGGCAGTTGGAAAGAGGCAGACTCAGAAGAAGGTCAAGGAAGTGTGGACAGGATTACCCAGGAGCAGGAAAAGAGAAGAGAGTGGCCAGAGGAAACAGCGTTGTGGCAGGAGAGCAGACAGAGTAGGGGGTGGGGGATAAAGGAATAGGGATGGGGGTGGCGATGCTGGCGAGGGGCTGCCTGGCTCACCAGGCCAGGGGTGTGATTTCCTCCTCCCCCCCCACCAGCCATTCACTAAGTCTTACCAAATCCCTTCCTCTTTGGACGGGGCCAGGGGTCCCAGAGCATGGATCACCCCAGTCAAGCAGGTCTGAGGTGGTTCTCCTGGGTGAGTGCTGGGCTGGACACATGGTCATGAGAAGCAGCTGCCACCCTGCCTACTCCATGCACTTTCCAATTCGCTGCCTATCTGGAGCAGATGCAATATTTAGTGCCTTGTGAAAGATGCTCCCAGCGCACCTGCTGCCTGCTGTCCCTCCCCCAGACTACCCTGGGTTCACCTGACAGGGGTCCTGTAGATGCCTGGCCTAGATTCTTAACATTGCTTCTCAAAGCTGGGATCCCCTTTCCCAGAGGCCAGCTGCTGGAATACTGGGTCAGGAAAGGCACTCTGTATCTCCAGCCTACACGTAGGTCCCTCCCAGAGTCTTTCTTTAGTACACCTATTTCAGCTAACCCCTCATTTCATAGTAAAGGGAATGACTTTCCCAGAACCATCTGGCATGTCTGAGGCAACTCTGTGGTCAGAATCTGCAGTTCCCAGGCTTCGACCTTGCAATACTATGGGAGGCTGGATTCTGCATCTCTGTAGCCCCAGGAAGCTGGTTCCCTCGGGGTCTTCAGAGTCTAGGATTGCTGCGTAGCTGTGGGGGTTCATGATTCAGCTATAAACGTGCCTGATGAGCTCAGCTTACTCACCTGTGACCTGTCCTGCCTCCGAGTCATTCAGCTAACCTGAGGGACCCTTCCCCATCTTGAGGACCAGCATTGGGCTCCATAGTTAAAAGTCCCAAGAACCTTAGACTATTTACCCAACATTGTATTTTTCAACTGGGGAAACTGAGATCAAAGAAGGAAGGGATTTATTCAAGGACCCCCAGCAAGTCAGATCAGAGTCAGGTCTAGGAGTCTCTATCAAACAAAGACTTTCCCCTGACCCTGTGACTTTATGACTTGTGGGGTGTTTTTTTTTTTTTTTTTTACTGGGGTTTTAACTTGGGGTGCTTTACCATTAAGCTACATTTCCCAATCCTTTTTATTTTTTATTTAGAGATAGGGTCTCACTACGTTGTTCAGGGTCTCACTAAGTTGCTGATTCTGGCTCAGCCTCCTGAATCATGGGATTATAGGAAGGCACAACCATGCCTGGCTTGTGCCCTTGTTAACTTCACCCCCTAAGGAAACTGCCCTGTCAGAGGCCATAATTGGTATTGTTTGATTATGGGGTGGGGGTAGTGTCCACACCTGCACCTGTGTTTGTATTTATGAGTGTGTCTATATGCATGTGTGTGCACACACTTGCACACACACGAAGGGGTAATAATGACCAGCCCTATGGGCTGGAATGCACAGTTCCTAAAAAGTAGAGGGGGGTGCACCAGAACATCACAATTAGTCTTTCCAATCTGCTGCCTAATGCTTGCAAGGCCTGCTGGGTTAAAAAGACAAGGAACAGAACTTTCACCCCCGCCCCCCCACACACACACACCCAGGTGTGGGTCAGAACAGGTAAAAGCTCCTGGGCACAACTGGCATTACATCTCATACTGCCTGCTTACATAGTGAAACAGAAGCCACCACTAGGGGTCAGCCATCACCCAATGATTCTGATGAGGAGTGGTCCTCAGCCTCTGCCTAGGGATTTGCCTCTGGAGGCTGTCTTTGAAAAAACAGCTCCCCCAAATAAAGGGCCTAACAATCTAAGAGGCAGCTGTAGCTGAAATTCTAAATTATGTGTGTGTCCAGTCTGAAAAAGCACATCTGATCTAAAAATGAAGTGACATAGCTATTATTTTGAAATACAACTACAGAAAGTAAGGGTAACAAAATGTTACCTGCAAGTAGGCATCTGCAAGGCAGGAATTATCAGTTGGAGTGTGTGTCCTTAACTGAGGAAGGGCACACAAGAGTTTGTCAAAAGGCAACTGTGGATTTTTTTAAAAGTTGAGAGTTGATCTTTTACAAGAAGCTTACCATACACTATCAGTGCTTCTCCAACCACATGTATGAATCACCTGGATGTACAAAAACAGATTCTCAGGTTGTTTCCAAAGATTTTGATCTCTTGAGCCTGGGATGGGGCCCAGGAATCTGTATAGGGCAATTCAGGGTGTCTCCCAGAATCACACTTTAGAAATACTACAACTGCCCCACATAGGACATATCATCTCCATAGAATAGATAGGGAAATTGAGGCCCAAAGAGGGGGAAAAGAATGGTACAGGGTCACCCAGCAAGTGTTGGCAAAGCCACGATGCAAATATTGCTTGCCGGCACATCTTTGATGAGGGCTCCGGTTTCCCATAGGAACTTTACGTGATCCCTCTACTTCTGCCTTCAGCACTTCCTGTGCTTGGTCTCTCTGTCTGAGGAAGATGTAGCCGTAGACTTCTGGGCTGACTGGGGCCCAGGGACAAGTTTGGGACAGAGTACAGGAGCTGAAAGTGTCCTTGGAACTCTGGTGGGACAACTGAAGCCCAAACCTCAAACGTCTGAACTCTGCCTGGAGAGGGGTCGAAGGGTGGACTAGGTCTCCTTTCCAAGTGTCAGAGATGAGATGGCAGGCCTCTAAGTGAAGGCTCCACTTCACCAGCCTGGCCCTCAGCCAAGCCAGAGTTGGGGACCGGAGGTGGTGATGACATAAAATGTGGTTTCTGGGAGATCCGCCCCCAAAGTGCAATTAAGGCCAATCCTTTTCCCGTTTGGCTGTTTCTCCAGCGCTAAAGGTGTCGGGAGAGACTGAGCAGCGGACTTGATCCAGGGTTTTTACAGCGCCGGGGTTGCAGGCTTCTTCTTCGTTGCGCTCAGTCTTCATGAAAGTCACCTCTTAAGTAAGGAAGGGGCCTTGACCCTGTCCAGACCGGGAGTCGCTGCCCCCAGCTTCCCTTTGCGCTGGGGCTGAGCAGAGCTGTCTATAGAGACGGGACTACCGAGCTCGGATGCCTAGCCCAAAGACACTCGCCACTGGAGAGTGGCCCGGGTGCAAAGGGAAAGGTGGCCCCCACCCCAAACCTCGCAGACCCACCCAGGCCCGCCCCTACTGCCTCTGCAAACGGGCTCAGCCCCGCCCACACCCCCATTTGGCTGGGACACCCTCGGGCCACTCCCCCAGTCCACCCCCACCCACTCTCAAGGCATCCTCCGTTTCCTCCCCTGTGGCCAGTCCAGCCCCGCTTAGCCTGACCCAGGCTCCTCTCCCTTTTTGCCCCCAAATAACTCACCGCGCCTGCAAAGGACGACCAGGGAGAAGAGGACTAGCTGGTGCGCGCTCCTCATGGCGGGCGGGGGCCGTGGTGGCAGCCGCGGAGCGCTCAGCTGTTGGGTCACCCAGGCACAGCTAGCAGGCGAGTGAGCGCTGATTCTGGTCCCAGAGGTATGACGCGCGAGAGGAGCGGGCACTAAGACCCGGAGGACAGCCTCGCGCGCCCCGCGTGGGCCGCAGTGTGAGCCCCGCCCACGCGTGGATGAGGCAGGACTGGGCAGGAGAGAGCCCGGGCTGGGCGGGCTGGCCAGACCTGGTCACCGTGGGTCATCAATGGCTGTCCTGGGTACTTTCTGACACTGAGGGTGTGCAACTTTGGGAGGGTACACTTGTTTAGGGTTCCCCTACCCAGCTTTGGGATGGGATGGAAGCGGAATTGAAGGGAGAGGATGGGGCTAGGGTGGGCTAGCCGCCTCTCCCTCTGTGGACCTTACAACCTCGGCCGACCAGAGGCAGCTCAAGGGAACAAACACACCCCTCCATTGGCCAGCTGGCCCTAGCTAAGTTTTGGAATCAGTAGCCTTCCTTTAGGGTTTGGGGAACAAGCCAGGATAGGTGCCAAAGTAAGAGCAGTCCTGCCTCTGCACCTGGCGGAACCGTGCCTCAGTACAAGATCCAAAAGGGTCTGTGGCCACTTCCTGTGGCCCATGGCACTTTCCCTCCTTCCAGCCCCCCACCTCCTTCCCCATCTGAGCCCCATCTTAACAACTGGAGGAACAAGGTGGGAAGGGTAGGGTCTCAGGGACAGATCACATAAAAAAGACAGCTTTGTCACCTTCTCTCAGGCCTCTCAGTTTTGCTTTCAAATTGTTTCCCCCAGTGGCTTTTTGTTGTAACCTGACATGTTGGCATATGATCGTACAAAAAAAAAAGTAACAAACAAACAACAACAACAAAAAAAACCAACCAGCATTGAAATGGAGCTGACTTCCCCTTGAGGATAGTTTGGAGAATTTAGGTTTGAATGCAACCTCTCTTCTCCAAAGTGCAGCAATAATAGGTGAGATATATAAAGTAAATCAAAAAGACATAACTAGGCTGCAAATAAGATCATCATCTCCATGAACCAAAACCAGAAAACAGATGGAATATTCAGAGACCGAAGCCTGGGACCAGCTAAGCTTTGGAAACCAAAGGTGGTGGTGTGAGGTCCTTGGGATAAAGGAGGACTAACAGACACTGGCTAGAATTGGCTAGAATTTGGGAGCTTGAGTGTATGTTAATCCCTGAAAGGTTCTTGGGAGGAGGGAAGCCTGCTGCTAATTGGTTGTCTGTAGCCCTGGCTTCCTAGGATATATATTATCCCCTAACATACCACTGGACAGGAGTTTTAAGAATGCCATAAAACCTGGAGGAAACTGCAAAACTCGTTGTTAGGTGGAAGGGGAAGGAGAGAGAGAGAAAGAGAAAATGTAATATCCATTCATAGCTTATTCTAGTGCCAGAAAATAAGGAACATGCTCAGAAAATAATGGAGGTGTGTCAAAGGGACACAGAAACTGCCTTAACAGGGTCCCATTGATCATATCTGGGACAACTTGAGTATTAAAATAAGCAGTGATGAGTTATAACTCATTGAATAAAATAAGAAGCTATGAATACATACCAAAGCAAATAAATAGCCAAAGGTTTAATAAGAAATGGGATACTTATAGTTTCAATGTACCTCTCTGCAAAATGCTTAAAACGTGAAAAAAAAGAGTTAATTGTGGTAGACTGAATTATGCTCCCTGCAATGATGTCTACATCCTGACCCCAAAACCTGGGAATGTTTCCTTAAACAGCAAAAGGGGTTTTGCAGATGTGATTATGTGGATGGAGAGATTTTCGTGGATTATCTGGGGGGCATTTAGTCAGAGGGGTCTTTATAAGAAGGAAAGAGGGAACCAGAGAGGAAGAACGAGAGGTGAAGATATAAGGTGACACTGGAGTGAAGTGGCCATGAGCCAAGGAATCCCAAGGCAGCCTCTAGAAGCTAGAAGAGGCAAGGAATGGATTGTCGTCACCCAGAACCTCTAGAATGAACCAGCCCTGCCATATGACCATTTTTAGCTCTAAAGTCACTTAGATTAGACTGACTTTAGACTTTGAATCTCCAGACTGCTTGAGAAAAAATTCAAGTTGTTTTAAGTCACTACATTTATGGTTACTTATTACAGCAATATTAGGAAACTAATATACCCACTTAACCAAGTGAGTATAATTAACATCACCAGAAATGGGGCAAATAAAAACTGGGAACCACTTGAAAGGATGCAACAGGAAGGATACAGAATCACTTTTGTGCAGTTCCTGCCAAAGATGTATGACTTCAATCTAGTCATGATAAACCCAGGTAAAGAGATGTTCTACAAAATAATTGGTTATTTTCAAAAGTGTGAAGGTTAAAAAAAAAAACTACAGAAAGACTGAGGAACTTTTCTTGATTGAAGGAGACCAAAAAGATATCCAAATTAAATACAGCATGTGATAATGAAAGGGATCCTTTTGCTATACAGAACACTACTGCACAACTGCCAACCCTGAATGGAAGCTGAGGATTAGATATATCACTGGTAATTTCCTGATATTGAAGATTCTTTTGGCTATCTTTGTATGAATATCTTTGTTTGTAAGTAATGCACACTGAAGTATTCAGAGGTGATAGCACATCCTGTTGTAAATGTACTTCCAAATGATGTAGGAGAATAAGTGG